TAAAAGAGAGTACTGAAAACACTGCTTAGCTTTAAATGTGAAACACCTATATATGTTTATATATGGAGGAAGGAAATAACTACTTTTTCCTCTGTAAAAGCACCACAGTGCCTCATGAATTAATTTTAGAAACACGTTTTAAAACTCAAAGTAGCCAGAAATAAGCCTGCTATTTTAATAACCCTAAGATTATATGTATCAATATATTTGAACTTGCTACATAAAAGTCCAAACAAAGCCTGTGAGCCAAATGAATATCTGCAAAACCTGTTTTAAATTACTATTCATGTGGAAAATTACTATCCATTGTTTTCTAGCACAGGCTGACTGAAGAAATATGTGTCTACAAACACCAGTCTTCTGCCATGTCTTTGCTGCTATCTAATTAAAACTTACCTGATATACCTACACTTGCTGTAATTGTGGCAACTTTATCCTACTCAGAGGAGAACAAAAACCTCAAAATAAGCAAGTAGATAAATATCCACACTAATCACAAGCATCAGTTATAACACATTAACCTTTCTGGAAAATCCTGTTAAGATTTAGCTTTGTAATTTATTATTGGCACATAGACCAATCTCAGATTTGTTCTTGTACCTCAGCTTATAGCCCACTTAGTTATCTCTAAACTAGCAGCCTGTAAAAGATAAAGAGATCCTAGAAAATTATAAACAACAATAACAATAATAACGAAGGATTATCTTGGATCATGGTTCGCTTGCTTCTTAAAATAGATTAGCTTCAATCTGAAGTCTTTCAAGCATCTGTTTCTGTTGCTGCTACAGCTGAGGTTAAAGATGATTACTTTCCTTTATGACTATTTTTGGCCTACAGGGACTTCTTGGCTCTGGATTTTTCTCAGTGACTTCACTATGGTGAAAAATTTTGGAAGAGTCTTTTATACAGAAGAATTAGCACATTCTCTGCTCTTTACTTGTCCAGTAACTGCTTCAGACTCCAAATTTAACACCCAAAATTTTGTCATAATTCAAACAATATATAGATACTTATTTACTTACCAGTGCAAATTCATGTGATACTCTTCCATCCGGAGGCAGTCTTGCTCCAAAACCTAGAGCTGGGAACATTTTATCACTGTCATAGTCCTGAATGATTTCTCCTACTGCTTTCAGTGCCATGCCATAGGCATTCAGTTGATAGGGATTCATGTAGTGCAGTGAAGTAGGCTGTGAAGGGTTACCTGTCAGAGCAAGAACCAGATTTACTTTAAAACTGAATCACTTCAAAATTTTCTCTTTCAAAAATAACAGAAACCTAAGAGAGCAGAGATTGAAAAGAAAAGATCATGAAAAGAAAATGAACTTATTTCATAGATACATAACTGTGGTTGTATGAGGTAAAAATGCAATGTTCTGAATACATTTTTAATAGGTTAACAGTAGTATCTGTAAAGCTATTCAGCATGGAAAGGACAGCAAGAAATTGTGATTAGATTCATGAATTCGTATCTTTATAATATGATATATACTTTTAAGATGAAATCTACAAAAGTATTATCACATTCTGAAAGCAGCCTTGAAGGAAGGTCAAAACTTATCTTGCTTCACCCCACTTCAGCCATAATTCCACCTGAAACTCTTTTTTTTGCCCCTCCCACTGGGCTCTTCTAAAATATCCAGGTTTCTCCAAACAATTAATACAGAAAAAAATAATCAGAAAATACACAAGTATTTTCAGACTGCTCCTACTTACTCAATTTTATATGTAGCAATAATACAATGAAGTTAAGCAGAATACTGCTATAGATACATATGCAAACACATGTACACTTAAAACTGAACACAGCACATACATACACAAGGTATTTCTTTTATTCTTACCATTTGAGGCTGTGAAATCAATAGCTACTGTGAAATTGATTTGGGTTCTGTAGAAAAAGCAAATACAAATCTTATTAACAGTTGTACTGCCATGTGGAAAAATAAACAAGAGATTATAAAGTTGTTTGTGGACAAACTGTAGGACACTGACTTTCTAATACAGGAAATAAACACTGAGAAACCTCTTTTATAAGGTTCCAGCCAAGAGCTATACAACACTAATTTATTAGCATACTGAAAACTATTACTTTACTCCATCCTTCTTCATTGTTTGTGAAAAACCTAAATCTTTAATGAGATTATGAACATCCATAAACATTATTAATTCAGTTTCAACAGAAATACCAATTAATCCTTGCGCATATTTTAGCCCTAGTCATGGAAGACTTTGACAAGGGAAGTAGGTTTTTATTAATCTGCTCCTTTCAGCATTAAGAAAACCATCCTCAATCAGAACATGTTTCAAATCATGCTATGTATAAAATCTCTGGATGGGATATCACAAGTTTTGGCAGTGGATTGTTTTTCATGTGAACATAGTGACTACTTCAAGCAAGTGCATCAGAAAACAAAAGTAAAAACTGGAAGCAGGAATACAAAGACCTGTATCTGGAGCAGTAGCTACATAAAGCCATTATTGTGGATGGATCAGATGTTAGCATAGGTTTACTGTAAAAAAAATAATCATTAATGGACTTCTACAGAGCTGCAATACTATTAAATGCAGTTCTGTTCTGCAGCTTCCTTCAGGACAAAATACTGTCATTCTGGGGATAATCACTCAGCTATAAGATTCTATCAGGAAAAAGAGTTTGTATGAATTTGCTCAGATTGAGTCTTTTACATCTTCCTTCAAATTTCTGCCTCTTAGTGTGTGCAACAATGAACTTAATGAGCAAAAATTAAAGCTCTTTGAAAGTTACTGAACAGATTTAACTCATGTACATTTACATTAACATCAACAATCTGACACTGGGTTCTGCAGTAGTGGTTCTGCTGTTCAAATAACCTGATGTGCCCAGAGAAAATACTGTTTATTTCACAAAAATATGGGTATGAAAAAAATCCCTAACATGGAATCATTTTATCATACTGATCAAGGCTAAAACAAACTAAGCTAGGTTATGGGTGGACTGTCTCCAAAAAGTAGTAAAAGCCTTCTAATGCTCACATTATCAACATGGTCAGTCTGGAATACTTCTAAAAATGCTGTGGCCTCAACATAGACAATGGTGAAAGCTGCTGCAATCTCTGAGAAGACCTAAGCTTTATAAGAGAAGTTTATCATCAATATTTCTGTATTATGCTTTATGCAGCTTCACCACAACTTACTAATGGCATGACAATTTAGATTTACTTTGCTCCATTCTCAAATGTCAGGCCCTGTGGCTTGTTAATCACAATGCCTTTCTGCACTGTTAGCTAGTTGTAAGAATAAAGATCCTAAGAAATGCGCATCAACTAGTTTTCTATCATCGTCACTACAGTGTGCAGACAAATTGTCCTCGTTAGGTGAGAAGAGGTTTGGAAAAACAACAACAAAAAAGTCTAATAAAATACCACTTCTATATTTATGCTTAGAGTCCCTGTTGGCACTGCTAAGTAAAACTGCTTTTGGGCTGTAATCCGGCTGCACTTAAATTTTAAGGGCTCTGGTGTGGTGCAATGTTTGAAGAGTAAAACAAGCCTCCTCCAAGCATTATATGTCACGTACCTCCAGCACAAAGATCTTCAGCGTGCTGAAGATTTTTCCAATGAGGAAAGAAAGAAACCTCCAAACAGTTTTTCCTCAGCATAAGAACGGCAAAACTTATTTGTAAACCCATTTCCTGGATCAGCTGTTCTGATCCAATTAGCAAGAAGAAAAAGATAAAAGGAACATGGCTAACAAAAGAAAATATTAAAACCATATCTAATGGCAAAGAAGAAAAAAGTCCTGTGGCTACAGGTAATGACTGACAGCATTCATTTCTGAAGTTTTCCTCAAAGTGGTGTATCTGTATTATATTACTTCAGATAACAGAAACCCAACTGATAAACTAGAAAAAATCCCTTTCCCATTTACAACCCACTATAATCTGGATGATTTTTGTCCAAGCAGAAGGGTATATATATCACAGTATCTGCAAGTTTGACAACTATAAAGATCATGATATAAAGTAAGATCAAACAGATGTCTACATCTCTAGAATTTGCTCCCATCTGCATGTACATTTTAATAATATCACTACAGAAAACATGCAAGAACTTAAACCAACTACTTGATGTCAACAATTTATAGATGACTGTATATAGATTAGATTCCAGTTTCCTAAATATAGCTTCTTAACGCTATTTTAAAGACCCCAGTGTATTTAGTACACCATGAAAATTTTGGGAAGTCTAAAATGGCATTAAAAGCCTATATAGTTCAGAAAACCAGATCCCACTCTTAATAAAGCTGTCATTTGCATTATGGACACATGACCACAGAGAACATCATTTATGGCTTATAAAGAACCACGGAAGTCAGAACAAAACTCTGTTGCCCCAAAACTCTGTTGGACCAAACCTGCAAACCATGATTGCCCTATGTTTTCAATGACTGTTTTGTTTCATGGTATCACACAACATATGTACGGAGAAACGGAGGCCCAAGGAAGACCTGAACAGTCTCTACAGCTACTTAAAAGGGGGTTGTAGCAAGGTGGGGGTCAGTCTCTTCTCCAAGTAAGAAGCAATAGGACAAGAGGAAATGGCCTCAAGTTGCACCATGACAGGTTTAGGTTGGATATTGGGAAAAGTTTCCTCACAGAAAGGGTTGTCAAGCACTGGAACAGGCTGCCCAGGGAAATGACTGAGTCACCATTCCTGGAGGCATTTAAAAGATGTGTAGACGCCCTTAGGGACATGGTTTAGTGGTGGACTTGGCAGTGCTAGGTTAGTGGTTGGACTTGACGATCTTAAGGGTCTTTTCCAAACAATTCTGATTCCATACTAGAAACATCCCTCTGAACATGATCTCATGGAAAAGAGATATGGAATACTAAGTTACACAAGGCACCAGTTTCCTCTGAGGAAAGGAATAATAAATTGTAAAAAGGTAAAAAACACAGGTCAACCTTGTAGTCAGAATTATCAATTAATGCAATTAAACCTTTTTTGAACACGAAGCTGGGTCTTTCAAACAATTTAACTTCAAATTAACACCATTACAAAAATATTTTCAAAAGCAGCTGTAATATTGTGAATGATTTTTGTATTAAAGATTAAGAAAAGCTATTTATTTCTTTACCATTTCACCAAGACTGAAACAATTAACCAGTCATAACTAAAATTTAAGCCAGAAAGGCTAATTTAAAAGCTGTGTGCCATGAAAACATCAGATATAACTACGTTGGAAGCCAAATGGGATGGCTGGAAAATTAATCTGGATGACATTTCAAGAAGTGTTTTCATGGTAACACACATTATTCTAGAACCAAATTAAATGTAATGAATACAGCTGAAAGTCCACTGTCCTGCTTTTATTTCTCCTGCATGTTTTATTTCTTTTTAATACACTAATTCTTAAGTTGCATCAACTACATATTTTTAAGTTACTGTTATTATTAACCTATTAGCCTTCATCAACAAGTACCTATTTTTAAATAGTAGTCTTGATTAATGTATTTTGTATAAGGGACATTAGCTCAAAATTCCTTAATTCAGAATAAAAACATTCAAAATTTTAAAAAGCTGATAAAATTGGAGTCCGTGACACAAATTTAGGTGCCTGATTTAATGACGCAAATTTTAAAATACATCAAAAGAACACAACTTCTGTTTCTGATAAAGACAATTCTTTGTCTAAGGCCATGTCCTTGCTTTTCCAGCTGTGTTGTTCTCCAAGGAGCTATACTAAAAGCTCATGACACCTGCTACGAGTGATGCTGCAAGGTCATGAGGCTTTGCAGAAAAGCTGCTAAAACACTGACACCTGGCTAGGCAGGCTGAGATGCTTCATGTCCCATCTCAAGGGAGAACTACAGTAAAATATCCAAGCAGAGCAATGTCTCTTACGGATTCAGAGCTGGACAGATCACTACTGCTCTGCCAGTATTTAGCTGGTATAGAAAGACATGGCGTATTTGCTACCTGTACAGGTGATTTTACTCTATACTACCATGAAAAATGGAGAAAGTATCCTAAAAGAAACAGTAATTTTCACCTCACAGTGACAGAGTAGCCATTTTGTTTGTTTCTTTAGGAAAGCAAGTCAAAACTTACTGTCTTTTAATAAGAGCTCTGTCATCACTGATATACATAAGGGAACAAACAAGTCTGGATGTGGCATTTGATTAGTCTTGATAACATTTGTAACAATTAGGGTTTTTTAAACAGTACATTGGAAGGAAATACATATTTCCTCCTGTGGCTTCAGAGTGACAACCAGCTGGTCTGTTAGCGGGGGGAGCTGTTGAAGGTTTGAGGATCACTTACTGCGCAGAACTCTACAGTGGAGCTAATGGAGTAAGTAACACTACCAACAGGCTGCATCCTCTGCATGGTATTTAAGTCCCCAGTGACAGTTATAATTTCCCCTTTGCAGATTCCTGTTTGGCCAAATGCTGTATCAACTTAGAGAACATACTTCTGACAAAGCCTCTACAAGACCTTGCTCTTGTATAGTCTTATTACTCCTTATTATTCTCCAAGGATACAAGAAATATATGTAAAGCCTCCAAAATGTGTAGTTAGGACAGCCATTGCTTCATAAGTTTATCTCACAGCAGGTCTGCTCTGAACATCAAATATGCATGCCACTACACTATATGGTGTAGTGGTTGGATGGAAATAGCTGTCATGAAAAGAGTTCTAGATTTCCATTTGACCATTAATGATTAAATACAGTTACGTTAAAAATGTATGTCGAAAGCCCTCAGAACCTAAACAATGTGTGAGTGTTCATTTCCAAAAACCTGGATGAAGGAAAGGCTTTTAACAGGACAGGAGAAAAACATTTCTTCCTATCTTCCACTAATCTGGGACATAGGAGATGACAATATTTTTGAGTTGCACAAAGATTCAGCTTATTGAATGTCACTGATTTAGATGCCTAGAGTAACTTGGTAGTACACGCCCTATTCTAAGTCAAAGAGTCTAGGAACTTCTGCACAGAAATATCCTTTCTGTCCTGAATCTTGCAACTTTTTGCCTCCTGGTTTCTCTTCCAAACAAAACCAAGCAGACTACGAACTAACGGTTTGACAGTCATTCCTGTAAACCAGGATAATTTCAATTGCTCTCCTGTTCACGGCCTTATACCTTGCATTCCGGAGCTTATCCATACATTTGGAGGTATTTTGATAGGGATATGTTTTTCACTGCTAAGTGGCAGGAGAAAACAGATTTTGAAATATACATCAATTCTTAGCACACTGTACCTATTTTAAATGTGGGAAGGTCAGTATGGCAAAATACAGGATAAAGTATCAAGATGTAAGCAAACGCCAGCTAGTAAGATGTAAGATTCTTAAGAAGTAGGTGGATGCAAAAGAGACATCCACCTCTTTCCTGTTACACTGCTATAAAATCCAGTGTTGTGTAGTAAAATGGAATTAGAATTTATGGACAAACTTCTATTTAATTCTTCAGACCTTTAAAAAAAAACCACAACCAAGTCATATTGATGATACTGATAATGGAATATCCCAATTAAACAGATGCAGACTCAAACCAAAAATGAAATTAAGACTGTAATCCCAATTTATTGCAGTTAAAGCTGTTAAGATTTCCATTAAATCAATATTACTTCTAGACACCTCAAATCAATTACAATGAAAGTTCTGAACATCAAGTATTTCATAAGCATCCATTTACCAAAGATTCAATATTGTGCCTATTGCAGAATCAGTGTTTTCTTACCCTTGCCTAACTAAATGGAAGAAAACCAGGGAATTAAAAAAAACAATTTTGGAGGACATGATGGGAAAACAGACTGATTAATGATGAAATCTTCTCTTCCCCCTTCCCTCATAATCTGCCAACCGGACTGCAACTGATATGTAGTAGTATTAAATGAGATAAATGAAGGGAGAGAGAAGCCAAGAGAATGAGTCTGAGTCTCAGCCTCCTGGTCATGTTTATAAAACTGTATATGTTGCAGAAAGGTAACATTTTATACAAGTACTTCTACAGTTTTCACTGGCATGTACACACAAATAACGGTATGAATCGCTAAACAGGATTCTATATGAAACAATTAAACAAGAAGTATTAATGCTCTGCTCACACTTTTAAGCACAGAGCATTCTGCTGAATTATACTCTATATAAAAGAGCAGAAAAAATCTTAAACTGTAATTATCACCATAGGTCTTCTTTGACTTGCAGTTACAGAGATATACACAAAAATATCAGTAAGAACAACAAAGTATTATTTGTAATCAAAATTTCTATTATTTGTCTACAGAATGTAATTAGGTTTATTAACTTGTATTGTAACATCTCAGTGAGAAATGTGTTAAACCACTCTGAAAAGATTACAAATGCATCCACCATATATTTTTCTTTCCAAATTTAGATATAAAACAATTCTTCAGATCCTTACACACACTCTTCTTGTAGAGATGAATATTGAATGAATGGGGATAAGATGGTTGTGGCAAATATGTACAACATGCTTCACAAAACACTAGAGGTAAAAACTGTTTCTTTGTGCATTTGTGCATACATATACTTCATTCAGTACAAACTTCCGGTAAACACGGATGGATGGCCATTTTCTGCTTCTGTTAAAGTCCACAACAGGAACATAGGATTGCCACTGTTGGGAACAAAGTCAAAGCCCTATATTGCTACTGCCAAAATACAACACAGAGTCCTTTTTCATTTCATCTGAAGCCTGGCTGAAAAATGGCACAAAAAAAGTAACTTTTTTCTTCACAGGTAATCAATGCTTTAAAATACATGTGGGATGTATATTCAGATGGTATGCCTCAAAAATCTATACTAAGTGCCTAGGAACATGTAACAAAGTATTTTCATTTATCATAGAGAACTATGTTCTGGCAGGGAGGTTAAGAGCCTGAGGAATTCCTGGGATTCAACCTAGGCATGCTCTAGGGTAAGCCATGCAATGCTTCTGTCTCTACTTCCCTTTTGGGAAAATGACAATAAATGAGAAATGGAACGTGTTATAAATTTTACATAATTAGTAGTGAAAAAATACCTTTGAAAGGGAAAGGCTCTAAATAAATGCCAATATTAAATACACCAAAGGTCAGTGTAATCACAAGAACTAAACCAGCATTATACTAATTTTATTGTAACTAGGTAATTCCCTTTCAGTTAATCCAACTTTCACTGGCTGATCAGAGGTCATTACCTAATCTCAGTGTTTTAGTACCAACACCAATTCCAACATTTTAAGCGAAGTTCCATGACTTAACTTACATTGGTAACTGCAGGTTTTATGTAGCAAAGGACAGCCTCTAAAATGAGGAAACAATACATCTCTTTACAGATACTACTCAGAGTCATCATATGCAAAGTACATACACAAATTGTTAGTGAATTACATTGAGACTGTGAAAACAAGAAAGGTTTGTTGTCAATCACATACCCGCCTTTAATATAGTCAAGGAATGAAACTTCTGTTTCAATTAGGAAGGAAAGCAATGTTACCTGAAAGCAAATAAAAGAGAGTCAGACATGAATTGTCATTTCCCAGTTGAACAAGTAGAGACATAAGCACAATGTTTTTGGAGCTCTGTCCTTAAGACAAAATTTCCTACAGTATTAGGGAAAAAAGATTAAAAAAAAAAAAAAAAAAGGCAAATTTGGAAGTCTACCACAACTGTTTGTTGGGGGGGGGGTTTAAGCCACATTTAAGCAATAGAAGATTGTGTTCCAGGGCAGGTTACCACATACTCATCTTCTGATCACACGGGTAGTGGTCTAAATGTGTTACTGGCATTTTCAGCAGAGTCCCAGAAGTATAAACTCAAGTGGAAAAGAGCCAGTATTTAAGATCTTCATATACTGCACATCATTTATGAAACAAATAATTTAATTTTGTTTTATCTACAAAGTGACACAAAACACAATATAAGTGCATCAGGCAGTCAATGAAAACTGCCTAAATAACTACACACAGCAAATTCACCGATAACGATACACTGAATAAAAAGGGGGTGGAAGTTTGTCATGAAATTTGATTTGCTTCCAACTACAGCAAAATATAAAACCTGAAAATATCCTCTGTTGTAAACTTGGACTCAGAATGAGATTATAGGCAGCAATTCTGCCTTCCATCCTACTTTCTTTGTCACAGGTTCTCTGTGAGTCTTAGTGACTTCCAAAGTTTAAAACCATCAAATTACCCTTCAAGCTGAGATCAGACAATCATACATAGTTATATATATATATGCATATATATATATAGTTCCACCAGACTATCAGTAGCATGGTCTTCCATATAAGATTGAAAATTTTTATGTGATTTCCCACTGGACACAGCCATTTTAATGGTTCATTTGTTATTACAGTTGGTCATCTTAACTAGTTAAAGAAAATGTTTTCAGTGAATCTGATTTTAAATGGTAAAAAATGAAAACAGACAACAATACCCTTTCAAAGCAGCCGAAGTGTTTACTTCCATACAGACAATACCAATGTTCCAAGTTTTATATGGTTATTTTACATTTCACTGCTTGGTATTGTTCAAAACTAATCATGTATAAACATTTCTGCTTAGTATGTCATTTTGGCTGTCTGAATTTAAAATGACCCCTTAAGTGATAATGAATCGATATGGTTACTGTATGTACACTGTCCTTAAAAGCAGCAGTGAGAGAGTGGTCAATGATAGGTATCCAATTCCCTTAAAGTTCTCCAAAAGCCAGCTCCTATTAGGGAGAATGATAATTTGAAATGTGAAAATTTAGACAACTGTAGGATAAGGAGTATCTTGGATTAATGATGGGGACAGAAAAAAACCTGCAAGCAAACACATAGGAAAGTGACAATTTGGAGAAGCATAAGGGAAGCCTGAAGGAGTAACAGAAGGGCAAATGGATGCAAAAAGGACTTGATAGAGAAATTACAAAGCCAACAGAACACTGATACAGAAGAAAAGAGCAAAGAAAATTGCTAACTACTGTTTATTGGAAATTTCAATGTAATTTGAGACAAAGGCTAACAAGACACAGTTGATTCTGTCTGTTCAAGTGTGACTAAAATATGTTCTTTCAAATGCAGATACATGTGAAGGTGTTAAAATACTTCAAACCAAATTCAACAGGAAAATAGAACATGTAAATGCATTTTTTGCTTTCCTGTACCTTAAGCCAGATTTCATATCATTCTGAGTACACTTACTTTTAGTATTGATTTAAAATAGCAATTTTTCATAAGTTTCTGACTCACTGATTTAGCATAACAGAACTTTAAACACATTAAATTGTAGTAAAAGGAATATGTAAGAAAAAAAGTTACCTAATGAATCAGATCTTGAATGGCAAATGTTCATGGACAAGCTGCTTATGCTTATTTTTTACAATTTAAAGCAGAGGTACAAAATAAGTGTTTATTTTCCTACTGATGAACAGACTTATACAAGCTTTGAGAATGACAAAACATTCCTTCAAGGCTAGAGTTCAGAGTGAAAGTAGCCCTACTGACTTCAGTGGAACTGTTCATGTGGAAAAAACACCCACATGCTGGATCTTTCAAAAAACCTATCTTACATCTGATTAGTTTTGCAATATACAATTCCTCAATATTTATCTTCATTATTTTTAATGATATTTTGAATTTCATGGATTCCAGAACACAGAAGCTGAGAAAATGGGAATTATTTGTATTGCTAATGGTTCATAAAACAGATTATGAACAACAGGACATTAAACTCTCATCCCAAACTGAAGTAACAGATCTTTTAACATTAACCTACAAAAACTCCTATGTAATAAAAAATGTTGACTCATTTTGGTTTAGACATGCTAAGCACACTAGCTTTTACTGATGCTAACTCAGCAGCTAAATTTAAGAAGAAAATTGACTTCTGAAAGTCCATCTGTTTCAGACAAACAGTCCAGTAATTTCAGAAATTTGACTGAAGTTTTAGTATAACTTCTTTTGGAATTCATTACACACTTGGTCAGAGCTTTTATTAAGAGTCTTTAAATTAAAAAAATCTGAAATGAATGCTGTATAACAGTAAATAATTTACTGTTGTGGCCTTCACAGCAGCTTCTGCTCTAATCCTGTTAAATTACAAATCAGTTATATCCTATTTCAAGTTAAAAGCATCCGGTAACATAAAATACATTTACTTACTGTTCCAGAATTAACATACTTTTTCTTTTTTCCCTTTTTCTTTGGATTTATTACCTAGAAACACAGATACAAATATTAAAGCAGTATGATTTATGATCTAACATAAAGACAAGTGTTAAGATACTTTTGATACAGAAAATTGTCTATTTTTAGTGGATTCTAAATTCACTAAGCATCCTGTTTACTTAAGCACCCCAATGCTGGGATACAGGCATATCTGAAAACCAGTGAATTTATCTTCATGGTACCTGCTAGGTAAGACAGTGCTGCTATTGACAAATAGGGGACCTGTGAAACAGAGGTGACAGTCTTCATTAAATCTGAGTACTCAGTGAAACACTTCATTGGATTTTCACAAGATTCTGCATTTTTCTGCGTGCCTGATTCCAGTGTTTCAGTGTACTGTGTCACAACTTCTCCATCTCAAAATGTACCTCTTCACATTCCGGTCAACCTGCTTCCATCTTCTCAGTATTATCTGAGAAACATGAGAGTTGTTCTGCTCCTAGTTTTTGTATTTGGTGCAACAGGATTTGGCTGACAGAAAGAGCAACTGGGGCAACAGATCATACTGTGCCTGAATGAAAGCTAGTCAGTAACTTAATGAAAATAGCACAGATCACCAGGTTACTGGTGTGCAGGAGTTGTGGGGGCTCTGTGCACGCCCCATACTCAAGCATCTTCACAGAAGCCATGCCTATGAGATTTCTCACTGTAGCCACCAATAAAAATTGTTTCCCTTCTGAATACCTACCCATTCAAAGGCAAGTCTCAGTCAGTTTTATCATATACATATTAAAATGTACTGCTTTTTTCAAAATAGTGCATGGAATTTGGAAGCAAAACATTATTTTGTTAATTACGTCAATCCATGATCTGCTATATAACCAGGAAACACAAATCCTCGTGGCTTACTGTCAAGTTCTGATGTAAGCTACTCACAAATGTTCCGTGAACGACAAAGAATGAAAACATTCCCAACTGAAATTTTAGTCACTTAACTGCTATAAAACATTTCAAGAATTTTGCCTGAAAATGTGAAAAATTGTAATATATATCCTCCAAAAATTCTCTCCCCCAAAGCAAAATGGTGTTACATTTGAAGATCATATTCCCTGTGCAACACAGAACAGCTGTGAAACTTAAGGCAGAAAGAGGTAACTATCATTTGAGGTCTTCCCAAACAGGCTAAATGACAGTGACTGCTTCTTTCCTTCCAGTATGCCACACAGTTATCTATTAAGTGTTCATAACAGCTTTTACTGCCTTGCACACGCATAAACCCTTTAATACTTAAGAAAAACCACCAACCAGATAACCCTTTTCTCTTATTAGCAGTATGACTGGCAAGCAATGGATTAAATCTGTGTAATGGTGGTTTATTAACAATTCTTGCTGAACCTCAATTTCATCCAGAAAGTGACTCCTGCTGACAACTGACCAGAAGAGGAAGGTAACAGACTGCCTGCCTGCCCTGTGGCCCTTCATTCATAGCTCTCCAGAAGCCAGTGATCAGGCCTGAGTTAGCAGCATATTTCTTGCCAGCAGTCAGTAAATGCCAAAAAGGAGATTCATCTGAACTTTCTGCTTCAAGCAACTTGATAATTGGCTTAGGAATTGTGAGGAAATGCACTAGAGCTTGGAGTGAAATATCACGGGAAACAAGGCATCTACTTGATCAAAGATGAACTAAATGGCAGCTGATCTCCCTCATGTAATTCCAGATACTACAATTACTATAATATTGATGTGGGGTTTATGTGTTGTTTGTTGTTTTTTTTTAATATATTTTATTTGTTTTGTTTTCTCAAATTTCAGGTAACTATAAATAAACTGAAGTCTCACACCCCTGCAGTAATCTAGGAAGCTACATGAACTCTTACCTTTTATAACAAGGTCAATTGAAAAGTGCTTGTTATAGCAATGTTTCTAATCTAAAAATATGGGATTCCTACAAATTTCTCCACCTGCCTTGGGTCAGTTTGTAAATGCAAAACAATGAAGAAAGAATTTGTCCAGTCTCTTTTGCTCTGATACTGCACAGACAGATCTAGTAGAAGCAATACCAAAGTACAGAGGACTGCAGTGTGGGGAGGCAAATACAAGATGCTCAAGAAATGGACAGTATTCATGGGAGTGAGATACTGATATTATATTCAAGAAACTGCAAAATTAATTAAGATGTTATGACAGAATATTCCTGGTAGAGTAGAAGTCATGTCAGCGATACAACAGGAGAGGACATTTTCACTGCATACAGTAATCTGTGTTGTGACACTATCCATAGTAAACCACAGTAACGCTGGGTTGATCTTGGATCTAAATATGAAAAACCCCCATGGCTTTCAGTTATCTTTGTCCTGCTCTGCACAGTAGCACCTTTGATCATTTCTTAAATATAATGCAGTACATAATTGGAGCACCCTATTTCCCTACCTTGCATTAGTGCTTGCCTAAACCATCCTACATGTGATCACCTATATTAGGAACATGAAATTCTGCAAAATACTGAAGTTAAATGGCAGTAGTCCAAGACCAATTAAAGGATAGCTTAAGGACTAACACAGATCTGTACACCATACAGGAAAAAAAACAACCTAGGCTACAGCCACATAGGCCTGTCTTCTCATTATTAGCAAGAATATCATTCCATGAGGAATAAAAAACATAGTTCAGTTCAGAGAGACACTGAGCATGCAAACTGGGTGACATTGGAACTCATGGCACAAATAGAGAAGCCGACCTAAATACTTCAAAAAGCATATTCACAAACCAGAAGGAAGTCTTAAGTATTTACTTTGAGGGACATAAGAGGTCTTGAAATTAAACTACCATGATCACCATGACTAATTAGCCGGATTTGTATTACATCTGAATCAGCCTTGGGAGAAGCAGAACTTGAAAGAAGTTCCAATCATGGGATTATGATTGCACCAATGAAGATCTTGCAGCCAGGAGGGTCAGGAGTTTCACCAACCTGGACACATATGAGTCTAAATTCAGGAATAGGCTCTCCTACCAGAATGGATAAAGAGGGAACAGAAGTGCAGTCGTCAAGACAGCTAGTCTTGCAACTGCCCCAAAAGCAGCTACAGCCCATATGAGTGGTGCTGTGTGTGAAACAAAGACTTAAAGTATATTTAAGTCACAGAATCACAGAATCCCAAGGGTTGGAAGGGACCTCGAGAGATCACCTGGTCCAACCCCCCTGCAAGAGCAGGGTAACCTAGAGTACATCACACAGGAACTTGTCCAGGCGGGCCTTGAATATCTCCAATGTGGGAGACTCCACAACCCCCCTGGGCAACCTGTTCCAGTGATCTGTCACTCTCACAGTAAAGAAGTTCTTCCTGATGTTAACGTGGAACCTTCTAATCCACAATTCACCAGGTGGCATCATATAGCAGAAGCACTTGTATTACCTGCAGTATAATTTGAAGGCAGATTAGCTGCCAATTTGAAAGAGGAGTTGGTCATACTAGCAAGACCATGTCAAAGGCAGATTCGGTGGAAAAAAATGATTTTTCCTGTTTTTTCAGATGGCACATATGACCATTGCTCATGTTTGGGAGCCTTAGATATTACTTTCCTCTGGGGAAGGTAGGGGTGAGAGGGGTATGATCAAAATCTTGACTTCCAGTAACACCAGAGATCAAGGACAGAGTCACTAAAGAAATACCAAAAAAAAATATCCCACGCAATGTCCCAGGTAGAAGCTGGGAAAGAATACAGGAAAGAAGAATCACTTTTAGAGACTTTCTAAACAACAGGGGGAAAAATACTAGGTGCCTTATTTTTTTCTTCAAGTACTATATTTGGTCTGCATTATATAAGCCAAGGGTTGAAACTGCTAATGCAGTAAGAGGACCCATTTTATGCTATCAGAACTCCTAGAGAGCACGATTGCTCTGTGTACGATGACACTTTTCAAGAGAGGGCTGCTTTTAACTAGAATAATACTTCGGGTAATCAGACCTAGGAAGGAATGTGCATTTGTACTGTGTTGTGATGACAGCAATCTGTTGCATGAGGATAAGAGCCAGGGTCTAAACCCAAGAGTGAGGCTCCAATAACCAAGGCAAAATGAAGGCAATTTCTAGTAGGATGCACTGTCACCTTTCTTATCTTTCCCTCAGGCACCTTGGCAGATGCTGTTTTCCTGGGTTATGTTCATTACTCAACTGATACAAACATTTTGTAAGTTCATTAGAGGAGATTGTAGACTCTTCAAAGTGAAAGAAAGGAAAACACATCTAAACTCAAAACTGGACCATTCCTGTGTTCAATACTATTTGAACACATATATTTATTATATACTATTATAAACTCTGACGGGGACAAAATATTTCATCAAAGGATCTGTCAAGAGTTATCAGACAGAGGTACTGTCTGGAAATTGTAAAAGAAAAAAATGCACACCAAAATAGTCTCTGTATATCACACAGTCTTTGGGTTCATGACTCTGTGATGTGAAGTACTGAATGTGAACTCCATGTTCGGACTCTTCTAAAGTTCCCCTGTCCCCAGTATATAGACACCTTAGGACAATAAACACAGCACAGACTGTACCTTGCCTACACAATAGTCTTCTTGTGTTGTATGAATGCTCATATCCAGAAATGAAAGACGGCAAAAATTAGAACAGAAATGAGAGAGACAACAAAACAGTGAAGTTAAAAATAAAGATGACTCTTTGCAAATCTCAGTAAGTGAGGCTATAAAAGCCCTACAGAGCAAAAGCTACAGGTACAGCACTTCACCTTAGAGAAACTGAAAGTATGTGGCACAATTCATACACTTTGTCTATGAGCATGTGTGAGATGGAGGGTGCTAAAAACCTTTAACACACATGGCTGGACATGTGCAAATGCAATAACATGTATTTTCACACAGGAGAATAGAAAGGTGTCTGAAATACACACATTAATTCAATGTGAAAATTGCTGTTTATGAGTCCTTGCAGGGGCTATATGGTGACACTGCTCTAATTAAGCAGACCACTGCTCCCAAACACCACCACTACATCAGTATCAGGAGACAGCTGACGGGTTTTGTGTAAATGCACCAAGAATGTCTATCATCAGAACAGTGAATTAGATGCTTAGGAACTAAGCAGTAGCTGTGTGCTAAGCACTAGGCTACTGCTGGGTGAAAAAGAAACTGTAAAGGGCAACACAGGGTTTCACACATACACAGACAAGAGGTGAAACTTGAAACAATGCACATTGTTTTACCATGTGAAAAAAAACAATTCCTTTTACAGGAATTCTGGAAGACAACTCCAACAACACAATGCAATAGACTGCAGACACTTGACACAGTATGTGCCAGTATGGGTACACAGCACAGAGCAGACTTCCTATCGCTGGTCCTAAAAGAAGGATAACCATGTCTTGTCAGCACCTGAACTGATCATTAGTAGGACAACCTAGGCAGAACTTACTAGCTCAGATGAAGCGTAACTCCAACTCACCTGTACTGCTTCTAGCTGGGGAGCACATTCACAGTATTTGAAGTTAAGGTACTACACACTGTTACCTGCTGAAGACAATGCTGAAGTGATCTAAGTTATGCATAAGATTAACGGGGACTCAAAATGAAAATGAAATTTCTTGGATCTATAAAAAAAATGTAGTTTAACACTGCAGAATGTAAACTGATACTTCTCAGTAACAAAATACATTTTAATTCTCTTCCATTAACTCTCCTTATTTAACACATTTTGAGATATCATGATATACTTCTCATTCAAGACTAAGATTCCTCTGGAATATTAATTTAAAAATGAAGTTTTTAATGCAGGAGTCTTACTGATTTATTTTTTTTTCAGTCAATTTTTTGTGCCCAAATCTGGTATATTTTTTAAAGGGCTCTGTCCAAAAAAAGAAAGATGCCAAAAATGAGTCCCTTTATGACACTTCAATTTTATGCATCTTAATTTTTGTTTCCACAAACTCAGTGATTGCTTCTGAGAGTAAATTACAGCACATTTTGAAGCTCAATAAGGTTTGATCTTGGAAAGTCTATTTTGGAAAATCCCAATAATCTCAAACTAAATTCAGAAACGAGTCTTAATAAACAAGCCTGCACAATAAAACTCTACGACTGAATTGACAACTTCCTGTCTATCCCAGTAGCTGGTAGATGTATGAATCCTAAACCAGAAGAGTGATACAAAGGTGGCAACTGATCACAAGAAAAACCCTGCCAATAAATAAGATAAATTATCTGTCACTTGTAAGCCCTGTGTCAAAACTCTAAAGATTCTAAAGTCTGCACTTAATGTGAAAGGCATTGTGACTCTGCATTTGCTGTAGGAATTGTCAGATATTCCTCAGATAGGATAAACCCACATACAACACATGTAACAGCTGGCAAAGGAAATAAATGACAAATTGTTCATACACAAGTGGGGGTAACCCAGTATCTTCTCCAAGCATGCCAACCCAGCTGCCTGAAGTGCTCTTTTTGCCCTATCACAGCCCAGCGTGCATACACACATATGCACACATACCTACTTGTCTCTAAATCTTTTTATGAAGCAACACTTTTAGATTCCCTGTTTTTGTTTATAAAAGGGAAATGTGAAAACATTCCAAAATTTGATTTTTACAAGTACTGTGCAAACTTAATCAATTTGCCATGAAAACATTGGGAGTGTTCTCTTTTATTTCCCGATGCTCACAGTACTTACCTCATACACATTGAACTGAGATTGTCCCCTCGACAACTCTCTGTAACTTGTTGTGAATTCTCCGATGAAATCATGGCTGTATAAAGAAAAAGTTTTCAAATCAAATGCACTGTAAAAATCATGTGTTACAGCTATTCACAAAAGAGAGGACAGTCAATATGAACTGGCAAAGAAAGGAGCAATGGCAAAAGATACAATTTGTTTAAAAACCTTTATTTCTTCCTCTGTTGTGTATTCACTCTATTAGTAATAAACATGTAAAGATGAAAAGCTTAAAACTTTCTGATGGCTTCTGCTTAACTTAGCTGCACAATGAGGACTAGGCTGTAAATCAGTCACCTGACCCCAATATGGCCTTATGGAATCTGAAAACCAAAGCAGGCTATCAAAAACTATCACCATTTTCTCACTGGATGACCATTGGCACCACAGGGTAAGACCATGTAGGAGAAAGGGAGGTATTATGAATGTGAAAGGAGTAACTGGAACCAGGAAAGACCATCCCTACCAACTTGTGCAATGGGACACTCAACAGTACTTTCAAGAGTAAGACCCTCTGGGAAGAGAAAGATCTGAGAAGAGAAAAGCAATCCACTGAGGCTAGTTAACTTACAGCATTAGACATCACTGGAAAGCAGATCTTAAACTAACACTAAAGCAGCGGTTACCAAGCTTTTCCTTTCTAAATTCTATTCCTTCTCGAAGAATACAGTCAACATGCCTGTGCTGTCACCTGTATTTTGAAAACTCCTTTGTCAACTCTTAATGAGTGGATGTCATGCTGCAAAACAGCCACTGTGAGCAGGATGGCTGAGGAAGCCAAGTGGATGAAGCATTGCTGATTAAGGTGGCTGAGTAAGAGGTCAGGAAGCTTGGGCACAGAAACCACAGGTCTGCCAGAAGTGACTGAACTCTTACCTCAGATAAGAGGAGAAATTGCTTCCAAGACAGACTAAGACTCTCCTTAAGAACCCAGTTTTGGAGGTATCATCTCCTTTGACTAAATGCTTTCCAGACTGCAATGACTACTTAACCAGGGGAACAGAGGAAGTCATCCATACAGGTTATGGAATTTCAGTTCCATATAGGCTGTAGCATGTAAGAGATATTTAACCTTGGCTAACCATGGCACTGGAGAAAAGTTCACCTTGGTTAAAGAGGAATCTTTCCCTTTTGTAACAGTTCATACTTCAAATTTTCAAGTCAGCTTGTATATTTCAAAGGCAGAAATTCAGACAATAGCTCAACCACTACCTTTAAACATCCTGTAGCAAGCAGAAGAAACATAAACAATTCCAGACAGGGCGAACTACGGGGAAAAAAACCCACACCATATTGCTTAAAAGTGGTTGTTTAATTCTGAGAGACACTGGAAAGCCTCCTTTTCTTGCAGCAATATGCACAGACTGACAAGAACCGAGCTAGAAAGACATAATTCCTCTGAGTAACAACAGTAAAAAGGTATGGGCATATATAACCAGTCTGAGAGTTCTCTGCACTTCGAATATCATCAGCCTGGATCTTAACACTCAGTATTCAGATGGATGTTATGCCCCTGCACAAGGTTGGTGCTGAAAGATGGGTGTCTGTTAGCATTTGCCTTTGCCATTAGGAGAAAAAGGTACTGACCTCTCCTGATATTCATAATCACACTTCCCCAGATGGATATCCTTATTAGTCTCTGGACTGAGAATCCAAAGGTGTTCTCTTTGCCTTCCTAACACCAAATATTCCTAGACTGGAAGACTTTTGTCCATGAGTGACATATCAGAATACTGAATCACTCTTAGCACACAGAATAATCACTTGATCCCCATCTCCCTAAATCTTCACATTTGAGACTGTGCTCTGAAGTGCTGAAAATCACTTTTGGAATTGCATTAACTTAAGATTTTTATTTTTTTTTTTAATAATCTAAAGGAAAAAAAACCCACAACAATGGAGGAAAGGCAAATAATCACCAGAAATATTTCAATGAGTAGGGGAAAAGTGCAATAATTTAAAAATTAGCTATCTAGCTGGAGAAGGAGGATGAAGATGGAGAACAAGAAATATGGTGAGAAAGCCTGGAATCTGAGATTTACAGTCCCTCCTGCAGGGTTTAGATTCTTAGATGAATGTTTCGATGGCCCCAGGTTAGCATGGTAATATTTACAGTTTTAAAATTCAAGGCAAACACACTTCCGTGTAAGAGATCATAAACATGAAGTCTGCAAAATGGCTTTTGCACCATGTATGTAAGTAGCAATTTCTCTGAAATTAAGTGAAAAAGCCTTCAGAAAGAAATAAAAACACCAGAGTATTGTCAATGTGCCGATGCGAAGCTGCACATCATCCTATTCTTTCCTTCTGCAAAACTTGTCTGCATGTACTTCCCTGATGAGAACGTTCCACAGAAAAGTCTCTGTTTCATGCAAGTGGACTTGTCCAAAGTAACAAAAACCAACTTTTGTGATTTCTTATAGTATCAAATATTTTGGATTTGTCACAGCTCTTAGAAGCAATAAAAAACCTGTTTTGAGACAAACAAATGTTTGCTAATTGTGTTAATGTTACAAAGGCCCTATATTACTATTACTCAAGAAAGTTTAAGTGATGTTTGAATAAATGAGAGCTAGGAATATACAATTACTCTTATCAATGTAATTCATGAACATGACAGTAAGAAGCTCAACACAAAGCACCCTGGAACCACTTTTTCAAAGCACAGATACCACAGAATGGGGAAAAAGCAAAAAAAAACCTGCAAGTCAGGACTTGAGGTCAGTCAAGTCAAGATTCAGAAATCAAGTATATGCACAGTAATGCTGCCTTACTGACTGCAGAATAACCTGCAATACTCAGCATAAATTGCTTTGCTATCTAGCAGGCTCTCTGATGACCTTTCAAAGGTTGTTTCTGCCCACTCTGCACATCTCTGGAGCAAACAAATTCAGCACAACAAGGCGATTAGTGCAACAACAGCTTATAAACAATCCATCGAAAATGGAAATTAACATTAAGTAACAGCAGCACTGTACAAAAACTTGATAGACTAATTCTTGAGAAGGATTCACTTCAGATACATTTGGCAATGTCAAAATTAAATTAGGCACTTAGGTTCTTTGCTATGATCACTAGTAAGTCAGGGGCTCCATGAACTGGCAATTTATTCCAGTTAGGATGGATTCAATCAGACTATTTTTCCCTGTAAGCTACTGAAGTAGCTTAAATGATTAGTCCAATCTAGTTGTCTGATTTTTACATTGTCTGAAGTTACATGAGATGAGTGCTGTCTCATCTTTCTGAGGAACTGAACATGTGAGATGCCAGTGTCCTGCCTGTTTCTAAATGCAAATATGTAGAAAGAAAAAGGCAAAAAAAGTCACACAGTTAGAGTAAGAAGGAGTATATGTGAATAAGTATCCTTCACTTTTGGGGTTTTTTAGATACTGATATTACAGGTATTCAGAGTGGGAGGTAAGCAAAAGCAGATAATATTTCAAACTGTTTGGGAGAGTGTAGAGGCTAATGACTGCCTAAATTGCACAGTATGTTGAAAATTTCACTCAGAATTGCAGCTACATAATACTATTTGTCAGATTTCTTCATTTTCTTTTTAATCATACCTCAGACTGTGATTTTTGATGAAACGGGACAGCACATGGAATTTGATATCTTAATAATGAATGATCTTTGCTTTTTATTAAATTGGTAATATAATTCAATTGTTATTTTTACATTATTAAAAATATTGCAGTTTATACATAAAAGTATAAATATGTCACATTTTTTAAGGATTTGGCAAATCTAAGTGACGAATGAAGGATATTAATAGAAACACATCATTACAGTGATGAAGTGATTTTTTGCTAATATGGCTTTGTTAATTTAAATCCTTGTATTTTTAATTGCCAAATATGTTATTTTGTCTCTCCAGGGAATATCTAATCAAGAAGGATGAACTTGCATTAGAGGTATTTATAGAAGGTATAATTGTGACAAGAATGCTTATAAACCAACAGGCTTCATGACGGAATCAAGTTGAAGGTATAAGCTGAGAAGGCTGAAACTGGTTTTCGACCTTGTCAGCAAGGAAATGTATGGCAGCACACCATAAATTTGCCTATTATGATTACAAAATCTGTTGGGCCACAGAAGCACAGTATCATTAGCTGTAACACTAGAAGCAAATTGCATTAGCAATATTGAAGACACTGCTGTATAATAAATAATATACTCTGCAAAATACAAACAGAAATGCATATCCATATAGTAAAAGATGTAAATTAAGATTAATAGGAAATATTTAAGACAGGCCAACTGAAAGATAAATAGAAATCAATATATTCTTTTATTGCATACAAGTTCTACTACCATGATCTATGAGTAAAGTTTCTAACCAAAATATTAAGAGACAAGCTCAAACATTCTTAAATGGTATCCATCCAGTCAGATAAAAAAAATAACTCTATCTAGTTTGTCAAAGTAAAGGCAATTTGAAAGCCTAACTTCTTCAGAAAAAAGGCACACTCAGATAGCAAGCTTGAATAATAACAGAGTGCCTTTCTTGAATTTAGCAACAGAAACGCCAAGTATATTCTACCATCCTCTTTCTAGCAATGGAGTGATTTAAAACCCAGGTCTTTCAACTCGAGAGTTTAGAACCACATTTTGATGAAGACAGGCATGGAAATGAATGTTCAAACCCAATCTGAAATGATGATAATTAATAGGTAGTTTCCACATTGCAATATCTAAGCAACCATGAAAGAGCAATTGCAGGCTTATGCATTTTATCATACTTGAAAAGCAATGCTTTATGAAGCAGTGGTTTAAGCAAAAGAAAATAGATTACAAAATATATTATGCCTCCCTTCATATGCATACATTAGCTGATAACATGAGATTCACGAAACTGATTTTACAGATCACAAAGCATTTCATCGTGCTTGTTCTATGTATGAAAATACACATACCATGTTTGAAATAGGCTTACCACAAATGCAAAACAAAACAGAACTGTAGCACAGCAAAACTTTTTATCCAGTACCTGTACCTCTAAATATTGATAAATACATTCTCTAGTCCTGTTCTGGCCACTGTGTGTTTATACATTTTAAAACATGCCTAAATGTATAAATATATACAGGCTAACCTATTTATTAAGCATGGCTAGCCCTACAGCTTAACAATAGAATTAATGTCTTACCTTCCGTCTCTATCCCAATCATACACTTCTACTTTAATTGTCCTGAAAAAATAGAAAACACAACCAATTAAAATATATATTAAAATGTACCAGGATTACCTTTAATACTTGTACTTTAATAGCATATGGGTGTAACAACTGTGCCACATCCAGAAGGCATAATTTTCTAGTCATTTCTCATGGGGTAGAAAATAGCATGACACTCAGGTTACTCAACGTATCTTCATGAGTTAAAATACAGCGGAAACTAAAGGAACAATTTCTGTTTAACCAATATATTTTTATCTTCCGAAGCTCTGAATTTTCTGTGGGATTTGTTGGTTTTTTTAATAAATGATTCTTTAAACCTAAAATATTATCAATGTTTTTATGAACAGTAACTATCTAGAACTTATTGTGAAGGTTTCTTTGGTACGTGCCAGGAAAAGGGGTAACTACTGTGGGGTAATAACATCTTACAAAAAAAGTAATATATCCATATTTGAGAAGTGTGCAGAGATTGAGAGGGCCTTTATAACACAAAATCATTAAGCAGCAAAGTACAGATGACAAGCAATGTTCACAATACAAAGTAAATACAAAGTAAAGCACATTAAAAGCAAAAAGGAATTCTAATCTGTGTATTTTGGTTCCTAAATGAAAGTAACTATTCCAGAACACAATCAAACTTCAATCTTGTAGACAGTATTAACCTTTTCTAAACACTGTGCAGTGATGGAAAATAAAGCTGGTGAGATCCACCCAAAATTTTGTGAAGGCCTTGTCTGTCTGTGTGTTCAGAAGAAAGAATTCGTAGCTCTTTACAGACTCCACTCTTTCCCTCTTAAAATCCCCTCTAGCTCTTAATAGAAGAGGATGCTGCTTGGCCAACTGACCAAAGAGGACACAAAAGTGCAGCATAATTTTCTTTTTTTAATTCCTATAAAGCCAACAGGATAGTTGTTTAGTTCTTTCATTGGACTACACTAGTTAGCCATCAGATTACACGACATAACCATGACTCTGGTTCTTTGGAATGAAATGGGACGAGCAGCCTGTGGGATGAGGTAGAACACAACAGACACTGGGTACCAGTTCTTCCCAAACTGCCAGATTGCCCTGGACAGTGTGGGAATACTCATCCTCCTCTTAGTGAGTAAGGAACCGGTGGGTAAGCTGCAAATGGAAGAGGAATGTGGAGATGAACTTTTTCCTTATGAGTGAAGTGAACCTCAAAGGACAGCTCTAACTAGTTTTCCTTCAGGGATGACTGGAAACACACAAAATGTGGAAAACAAAATTTTCCCACGTAAAGGATCAATCTTATTTTACATACTTACTTGAAGAGCCGATTTCTTATAATGCAAATACTATAAAGTATATTATCATCAGCATCAGTAATGAAACAGGAAGCATACCAGGATGGAGACAGTTTACAGTTTTATTTCTCTCCCTTTACTGGAGAAAGAGTATATATAAATTCAGCAATTAGAACTAATGAATCCTATCTGGCCTAAAGTGAACTGAACATGGGATAGAAAAATAACACCTCCAGACTTTCTATATTTTAAGCAACAGCTTGCTTACTGCTATTCTTCAAAACAGTTTCACATGAAGTGATTAGGTCTGTGGTATTAATAGATGAGACAGGAATCCAAGCAATGACATTATAATTTGCTTCCACGGAAGCTGCTCCTCATTCTTCCTATGAAATACATTTGAATATGTGTTGAATAATTTTATTCACAAGGAAGCGACAGTTTTAGGAAAAGGCTGATCAACAGCTGATACTATGTGCACCAACAAATTCATACCTAGGTTTTCATTTTTTATGATATTCCAGAAAAGGCAAAGGATTTGCTTTGTCTGGATGTTTCTCTTTTCAACTCAAATTTAATGTCTCCAACCACAGCATTGCTAGCTTTTACCTCTCTTCTAGAATTTCAGTTTGGGGTTAAGTCACTTTAGAATGAAAACTGATTATTCTTTGGAATGAAGTCAAGACCAGCTCCAAACCTTCTCTATCCCACCAAGTATTTGACCCTTCAAAGGAAACTGTATTTAATTTGAAGGACCTTCAAATATGTAACTTCATAGAAGCAATTCTTCCTTGAATAGCTCCTCTTTCCTGAAATTTATTTCATACTAAAGGCATTGATAACAGATCTTGAGTTTACCTATTTTGCATGACATGCAAGGCATTAAAAGGCCTTTCAAATCTTCAAATACTGGTATTTTATCATTTCTACACTACTATTTTAACTTAAATGACATGGTTTAAAAAAATTTTAACTTAAAAAATCAAGGTTAGAGAATGTTTGGATTTGGATATTTGTGTCTTCAAACCTTTATGCAGAAACCAACTATGTGTGCTATTTGAGAGCCCAAATCAATTGAATCAAAATTATTTTTTTCTATCCAGGCTATTCTGCACTGCCATTTTTAATTCTGTTTGGTGTTGGGGCTGTTCAGCCTGCGGAAGAGAAGGCTGTGTGGTAACCTTACAGCAGCCTTCCAGTATCTGAAGGGAGCCTACAAGGATGCTGGAGAGGGATTCTTCATCAGGAACTATAGTGATAGGACAAAGGGTAACAGGTACAAACTTAAACAGGGGAGGTTCAGGTTGGATACAAGGAGGTTCTTTACTTTGATGGTGGTGAGGCACTGGAATGGGTTGCCCAAAGAAGTGGTAAATGTTTCATCCGTGGCAATGTTCAAGGCCAGGTTGGACAGGGCTTGGAGCAACTTGGTGTAGTAGAAGATGTCCCTGCATGTGGCAGGGGGTTGGATCTAGATGATCTTTGAAGGTCCCTTCCAACCCAAACTGTTCTATGATTCCATGACTAAGTATTCTCATGAGAAAAGGAGACTTTTTCCAGACCTGTGACATTCCCTATATGTTTGACATCTTGATTCTGTAATATGAATGAGAATTGTTAAGTAGACTCATGTAGTAGTCTCAGGCATGCCAGTATGAGAGACGAGAGTAAAGGGTCAGAACTTGAATTTCTCAAAAATACCATATGCAGCCATTTGTACTTCTGGCTTTATTTTCAAGAATAATGGAACATAAACCTCATATTCCTTCCCAAGAAATATTGGTTCCTACCAAAATTTGATCGTTTTCTATGAATGAAGAGCAGCAGGGAATATTTATGTGTAAGAAAGGTATAATGTGATGTATTAGCAGACAGATGAGTTGCCCAGAAACGGAAGCTGTGGCCATGACAAAAGCTCTTTTCCTTTGGTATCCATCTTGGAACAGATATTTTCTCTGTACAACAGACAGAAATGTGATGGCAGTGTCCAAGCTGCCCAAATGTTGCTACAAATGAGGAAGGACATGGTTTCACGGATGATATGACTTGAGAGTGAGTAGTTTAGGTTTGATTCTGACTAATGAGAATCGTTTGCTAATCTGGAAGAAGATACTGGTTTGATCTAAGTTGATCCCTTCCAAACTAAACCATTCTATGATTCTATGATCATACATAAAATAAAGCAAAGATCTGGTAGAAAACTCCATTCCCTCCCAAAATGATAATTTAATACCACTTTCTTGGGGAAAAAAAAATAAAAAAATAATCACAAGTCAAGTAGCTTCTGACTTTTTAATAAGCCATTTATAAAGACAAAGCCTTATGACTGTGAGTGAAAGCACTATACTTAGTCCAGTGTATGTAAGCACTTTCTACTGTCCTGCTTCTTCATATTGACTACTGAGACTGCCAGTTGATTCAAGAGTTGATTTGTTTATCCTCTGGCATTAGCTAGTAAATTATAAATTATAAATTCAAGGAATGCTTCCCTGGAAGACTTGGTTTTCATGGTAACCAATTAAAATAATTTTGGTGTATGTTTCATGGAATAATTAGCTTGATAACATAATGCAATGGAGTTATGACATGGTAAAATCATGTTGTACTACAGTAACAAAGTGCACATGAAGGAATGGCAATCATGTATATGGAAGCTGAAAATAAAAGCTGAGGTAGAGAAGCAACTCCTTAAATTACAGATTAAAGACACTCACAGGAAAATCATCAATTTAAGCAAAGCCTTACTTAAATTCCTTACATGCAGTAATATATTTCAGCAAAGGATTTGGCGTCTGCTGCTTGAAACATTAGCTCATGTTTAACAGAATGCAATACTGAACCTCTTTGTATTTTAATCAATCAGATAACATACCTTTTGCCTGTGAAGTACCCAGACAAGTGCATTTTACATCACTTGTATCTTTCACACAGTCTACATAAAGGTGAACTGAACCTTAGCACACTTATCTACTACATTCAGCTTATGTATTATGCATATTTTTATTCTAGTCTTCAAACATTTTCTTCATGATTTTAAACTAAATATTGCACTCAAGACTGCCAAAAGCATTATGACTAAGTGAAAAATTTATACTTCCTCAGAGTCTTACTTAAAATAATGCCAGTACTCCAGGTTTCAAGTAGCAGAGATAGAGAAACTACCAGAAATTTAACTGGCTACTTAATAATAACACCAATACCTAAATGTATTTCAAAAATATGAATGGTGACAACAGAGCAAGAAGTCATCAATAGGAAGGTAAACGCTTTTCTTGCTGATATTGCTGTAGGTTAGCATGCCTATGTTTTAAGGAGTCTAAAAATATCCATCATTCCTCAATTTAACTATTTTGCTTGTTACTATTGGGGAAGGATTGATTAAAAACATGGTATTATTATGATTATAACCATCCAAAAGTGGATCCTTTTGCATGGGATCACAGAAAACTTCCAATATGAAGAAGACTACCTTCTGCATTTCCCATCTACTTACCTTATATATTTTAAACGCTTTCATCTATCAGCATCCTCTGACATTACAGTGTCACAAAAGGAAGACAGATCATCATTATTTTTCATTGAAACATTATTAAAAATACTGTGCACACTAGGAACAGTGGCCATTCTTCAGATCAGTCTTTTCTTTTAATCACACCATAGAGAGCAAAGCATATTTTTCGAGAAATCACCACTAACATTTCCTACAGAGTTACCACATTGTCTTTATTTTATTAAATTCTTTAATGCGATGACTGGCTTTGAATATATATTATCCTTTCAAAATTGTGATTAAATAACCTTAACAGCATCAGGAAACTGAACTGCATAGAAAAACTCACATAGAAAAAAACACATGAGTTTGGGGGGAAGAACTGTGTATGCTAAGAAAGTTTAACCTATAGCTTACCGGTCATAGTCTCCATTACAGAGTGCTCTGACAGAAATCTTGAACGCCTGCCACACTGGATTTAATGTATTTTTTATGACTTCAGTTTTGTGGCAGATTGTAAAACTGTAATAAAAAAAAATAAAGTTTTTTACTTTTTCTTTTGTGTCATCAGACACGGAATCGCTATTCATTTACACAATGTCCAAACAGAATTTAAGATAACTAAAAAAGAAATGCAGTGACATCAGAGAGGAGGAAGAACTGAGGAGGACAGATGGGGCTGAGAGAGATTACACACTAGGGTGCTCAATAACTTTAAACCTAAAACGTTCTTACCCAAAACTTTAGCAAGATTTACAAGCATTCGGTGAGTTATTTCAGGCAAAAGCAGCCCCCATACTACTTATTTAAACAGGCCTTGTACAGCCAGAATCAGTCACAAATCGAGAAAGAAAGCGGTCTGCTACAGTTTAAGAAATGGAGCCAAGGGTGTCCCGGCTTTCTGATTCTTGTTCCCCATTTTATGTCTATGACTTTTTAACCAGGGCTGTCTCAGGTAAAACCTATAAGGCTCCATAAGACCCTATGATCATCTTCTCTCAGGCTTTCTCTAAATAATGTAAAATAAAAATACATGGGTTTAAATCCTTGCCTTGGGACTGAATTGTTCAAAAGAAAACAGGAGGCAAGGTCACTGGTGAAATTACTACTGAAATTCTACATACAGATGTGACTAAAGCTGTCCTGTAAGGGAATATCTTCTTTATGTTCCAAAGGCCTGTTTTTATCCTGGCTATGGCTCAGAAAGCATGCCTGAAGCTGAGACAGAAAAGTGAGCATCCTTCTGACCACTGCTGGATTCAGGAGACCAGTAAAGACCCAGTGGCTCAACACTCACCTCTTGGAAGGAAGTGGAAAAGCATGACAACCAAGGCCAAGAGAAACTGCATATACCAGCACTCCCAGTGAATGCCCAGAGAAATTTCACTAATGACCTTAATGCAATTCACAAAAGAGCCCTAACATTTCCAGGATCACAATTTAAGATATTCAACGCTTATTAAGGAAGTTGTTTTTATAATCTGCCTCCAAGAGGAAAAGAGCAGGGAAGAGACACACGGACCCATATATAGGTTTATGTTGACACCTGTTTCAGTTAAGCTACTCAAACAAGTAATATCATGTATGTCTAGCCTATGGCTTGATATGAAGTTATATGTGACGACTATCAGCTTCCAAGAAAAATTGCCAGCAGACCTCCCACGTAAGTAGTATGTTGACCTGAAGTTAGCACGTCAAGTCTTAGCAGCAGAACAGGACAGATTAATCTACTTTAACAAATTAAAGCATAAATGTTGCAAACAGCCACTTATTTGATAAAAAAAACCCCAAACAAATAAATATCTATTGAAGGTATTTTTGAATTCTATTTCCTAGAAGTATGACAAAAGATAAAAGGTGTTTCCAAATTTGCGGTATCTTTTTATCTAAAACAATTTCTAAGGATTAACATATTCTGCAGCTACAATTTTCTTTGAGAATTCTATTTAACATTAAACGCATACTTTTCCTAGAAAAAGTAATATTATTTTACTATTTTTATTACAATTAATTTTATAGTGCTCTATATCATACATTTAACTCTTAAAACCCTGAGCCGCAATATTTGATCTATTTGTTACAATAGTTTTATTCCTGTACTGCATAACTTTATATACTTAAAACCAACAAACATGACAAAAGAAACAGCTTAATCTGACACATCAGAAATTAAAACTATATTACCATCTGCAAATAAGTAAATTGCCTACTGTTTAGCAGCAGAAATACTTAACAGGCATCTACCTGCCATCTTCGTTGCTTCGATGAAATACGAGGAAAGGATCAGATTTGCCAAAAAAGTCCTTCTTGTCTAGTTTGTTCGCACAAAACTGCATTAAAACTGAATCCTGAAATGGGTAATACAGAAAAATTACATACAGCATGCAGTTTATTACACTAAAATAGAAAAGTAAAATTCATTAATAACCATGTAAATAGAAAAATAATGAGAGTAGCTGTCTTCTAGATGGCCTCTACGTATTTGCATTCCTGCCACATCCTTTTACTGTCGTTTGAGCTGCTGGAACCAAGAATTCTTCTGTAGCAGCTGCAGAGGACAGGTAAATTCCTGTGCTAAACGCCTCAGGACTTTTCCATTATTTTCTGACATGCAAAATTGTAGCCTCAAGGAAACAGATGCACAGGCAAGGAAGGCATAATAGAATTAATGTTAGAAACTCCAGTGAGACATGAGTAAGCCTCCTCTCTTCAATGACTTGAACCTGCAGTTGTCTGCTCTTGCTGTCTGTAAAGCAAGTCACTTAGTAGCTTGATATTAAGAGTCTAGAAGCTTCCAGAAAATGAGCCTGGAACATACAAAATACACCCCTTCTGATGACAAACAAGGAGAAAAGTTGCTTTGCTGTGGGCAGGCTAAGTGATAGTCGCACATAGTTCTTCTGTTTGGGTAGAGTCAAGAACGTGAGGATTATAAATGCAAAGATAAATCTGCAGGCTCACCTGCTAACTGCAGCAGGGTCTGCTGGAAGACTGGTCTACAGGTGTAACAGCAGCAAGAGGAAGACTAGGCAAAATGTGCGATCAGCACTGAGTGTGGCAGGGGACCAGGTGACAAAGGACATGGAAAAGTGTTTCTCACAGCCTTCTATGCCTTGGCTAGAAAACCAAACAAACATGAACCTCACAGAATTCCACAGAGGGAAATGCCAAGTACTGCACTTTGAGAGGAATAACCCTGGTGCAGGTTGTGGGACACACAGCTGGAAAGCAGCTTTTCAGGAAAGGACTAGCAGGTGTTGGTGGGCAGCAAGTTGAACAACGTGCTCTTGGCAACAAAGGTGGCAAATGGCCTCCTGGACTGCATCGGGAAGAGTGCTGACAGAAAGCTGAAGGAAGTGACACAGCACTGGTGAGGCCACTCTAAGGGACTGGACCATCTTTCATATGGTGAGATGCTGACACCTGGAATTATTTAGCCTGAAAAAGAGAAGGGATCTTATCAATCTGTATAAACAGCTGCTGGAAAGGAGTAAAAAGACTCTGCTTAGTAATATGAAGTGGAAGAACAAGTGGTAATAAGTGCAAATTGAAGCACAGCAAATTCCATTTAAATACAAGAAAAAAAAATTTTGCTGTGGCTGTGGCAAAACACTGAAGCAGACTATGGTGTCTGCTTGGATGCATTCAAAACCTCAAGTAACCTGCTCTATGAAGAGCAGGAAGGTTGGACTAAGCAATCTCCCAAGGTCTCTTCCAATTTCAGCAATTCAGTGATTCTAAAAATCTTTGCTATTCTGAATACGAGCTATAGATGTTTGGTAAAAAAACCTCAGAAGATCAAACGAGAATTATTATAGTTAATGAATAAACCTAGGTAGGAAAATATCTCAATAAAAGTCTACAAGAGATGGTGACAAACTGCATGACAGAGTGTGCACATGAAAGAGCATGACAGGCAATGCAGAAGAGAGTACAAGAGAGACTGAGTTCCAAATTCTTCACAAGTTCCCTTCAGTGATTTTGAAATAGTCATCACGTATGTAAAATCTGAGTGGGGTGAATTTGGAAGAACATGTGGACCTTGGAGGCAGCCAGTATTTGTCTTCTTAAAAGGGAAAGAAAAAAAAAAACCCAAACCTGTTCTGATTATGGATTTTATAACATATTTGTGGTTTTTAAATAGTTTGTTATAACTGTGATAAAAATGCTCATCTTGGAGGATAAACCCAGAATATCGGGAAAAAAATTCCTCACCAGGTCTTTCCCTTCACCAGACAAATTCCTCACTGCCTTTTAATTATAAGGTTAAAAATCCCAAATTTTACTTTGATGTTCATGTAATGTTCCCTTCCATAATGGAAATATAATTCCATGCCTGAAACAAATAGATCTTTGTTAAAAATAATAAAAGAGATTAAAATATGATTGGTTACTTGGGGAAATAAAGATTAAAGATTCATCTAAGAATCAAAACCTTGATGCTGATGCTTTTTTCTTCTGCTTCTATCTAAAACTAGGAGTAACTCATAGGAAAAAGGTACTCTAAATTCTGTATGTCACAAAATATAAACTTCTACATCACACCTTTGAGAATCTGGTGCTGTATAAATCACAAAATCATTATAATTTAGTTTTTCAAAAAGCAATGAACACACACTTACTCGGCAACAGCCTAGTTCCTCTGCTGTTACTATGACTGTCCCACATTTCTTCCCAGGAATTCCTCTGCAAGAAAACACAACTACGTCACCTCAGTTCCTTGATATCATTTATGAAAGTTACAGCTAACACAGATAAACACAAGGGAAGCTTTCAAGTCACAAAACTGCTGACATGCTGTACAATTTCCCTTTTTGACACTTACTTGTCCTGTGTAAAAAAGTTGATTTACCCTAAGTGAATTGGTACATGAGTTGTATATTTATTCTAACTAGCAAGAAACAAATCAGTTTAATTTTTAAAAGAAATAGCGTAAAAAGCTTAATGGGATGAAATGACAATACCAGAATCTTATTTTTTTGCCCTCCCACCAATACTTTATTTAAAGATGACTCTACAACTTACTGCTTTGTGAAAAGCACCCATCTGCAAATTTTCTTTAAACAAAATACCTAAAAAATACTTTATACACCAGCCTGAAATGTTTATGAAGACACATAATAACCTCACCATATCAGATACAGTAGTTGCAACATAAATTATAATTCACCTAGACAGCCATTAAAATCATGCTGCTGCAACACCAGAAAGCGCAAACCAGATCCTTACATAAAGAACTATACAGGGATGGAAAAGCCACACATAATCTGACAGCATTCAGTGCCAGCAGCTTTTTTTTGAGGAGCGAGGGGCGTGGCAGTGGGAAATGCACATACTGAGATGCAACCTTTTGCATGACGCTGTACTATAAATGAGCAGTTTGCAATATTCAAACGTCTACTAGTGTGTCCGTTAACACACACCTTGGGAATTACTTGTAGATCCTCTTTTCCGAAACTAATGCTATTTCTTAGGCTCATTTTTAGTTCAGAGTTTTAGTTCAGATATTGAACATAAGTAATGATTTGAATAAAAATACTTTCCAAGAAGACATTTAGGTAAAATGACATTTTAAAATTGTATTTCTTTTTTTCTAAAAGAACTAGAGGGCACTCCTGTTCTTCTGTTAAGACATTAATATAAACATTTACTTTTGTTCTTATTTTGCTTGTTAGTTTCCTTAATCCTTTTGAAATTTTGTACAGTGCTCTACAACTCTCATTAAGTGAGACTTAGCTAGACTTACCAAGACTGTGGCATAATAAAAAACTGGTGGGAAAATAGTTCTTAGAAGCAGATAAAAGTTTACAAATTGTGAACATAGGAGCAAATCCTGATGCAAATTTCTGCAAGCTCACTAAAACTCCTGTTTAGAAGTTGATTTTTAAGTCTGTTAAGTGTCGTGGTTTAAGCCTAGCCATAAATCAGAACCACGCAGCTGCTCTCTCACTCCCTCCCTCCCTCCCCCCCCAGTCCCGGAGGGATGGGGAGGAGAATCGAAAGAATGTAACTCCCACGGGTTGAGATAAGAACAGTCCAGTAACTAAGGTATAACACAAACCACTGCTGCTGCCACCAGTAATAATAATGATAAGGGAAATAACAAGGGAAGAGAATACAACCGCTCACCACCCGCCGACCGATACCCAGCCCAACCCGAGCAGTGATCTAACCCTTCTGGGTAGCTACCCCCAGTTTATATAGTGGGCTTGATGTGCTGTAGTATGGAATACCTCTACAGTTAGTTTGGGTCAGGTGTCCTGTCTCTGCTTCTTCCCAACTTCCCCTCCACCCTGGTGCATGAGACTCCCCCGAGCATGAGACTCAGAAAGTCCTTGGTCAGAGTAAACATTACTGAGCAGCAACTAAACACATCAGTGTTATCAGTGCGGTTCCCAGGCTGAAAGTCAAAACACACAGCACTGCACCAGCTACTAAGAAGGAGAAAAAAAGACTGCTACTGCTGAATCCAGGACAATAAGGAACACACAAAGGAATGCTGCTCCTTTACCGTTGCAGTCATTTGCCAGTGATCAGAGGTGCACATGACTGCTCTCCTGGACCTCCTCGGTGCTGCATGCTAAGTCTGAATTTCACAAGGAGAGCAGTGGATAGGGAAGCTATTCAGGGTTTGTTGTGAAATTTTAAATGACTATTCATATACACACAATTCTTCCAGCATTCTTCCATTTAATGCAGTGTGACACAGAGTACAATACAACCAAATCAGAGAACTTTCTTCAAATGACAGGAAAAATAATCTGGACATTCCAAATATTACATGGTACAATTCATGGTTTTATCAGCTTCTTCAAGTCATAAGGTTTTATATCTGCCACTCTTCTACAGCTCAGGAGTGAAAAATACCCATTTTAGCCTCTGTAACAATGGGATATTGAAATTGAAATCTCAGAGTTTCAAAAGATTAAAAAGCTGCATTTTTTTTTTTTTTGAAGAGTACTTCTTGAAGCTTCAAAAACTTCTGAAACGTTGTAGTAACAACAGTATGGAAACCACTTAATTGGTAACATTGCCCAACCCCAAGAGATAAATATGTCTGCAATTATTACTCTGAAGGCCTGGGGAAACCTGGAGATGCATCCCCTGAAGATATTTAGGTGGGTATGGGTAGGCAAAAAAAAAAAAAAAAAAAAAAAAAGGAATTATTGGTTGGTGAGTAGATGTGAAAAGTGCACACAGTATAGTAATATCTAAAAGCACTTAGGGTAAGCTTCGGCTTCATGTATCTCCAAGGTTCTTAAGGACACATGCCTTATAAAGGAAGGATAATATTGCCATGATGGCTGGCACAGAGGTGAAATGCTTAATTAAGGCTAGCACAGCATTTCTCTACAGAACAGAAAGTTCTCACTATTCAGGAACTGAAAACTCTATCAAATGACCTCTACAGTTTGTGACAGTATTAAGTACAATCTTTAAATGCTTGTCTTGACTCTACAAGCATAAAAAAAGTGCTGGATCATTTGCAGACACTAAAGAGTTTGTTCTCTTATGAATTCCCTTACAAACTATTCATTAAGGTAAAAATCCTCAAGTACAAAGTCAGCACGCCGAAAAAAACTTCAGTGGTCACAGATCAGCCAAATGGCAAGACCTTTAAATAGCAATAATGCCTTCTGAGAATAACAAAATAATTTTAAACTGGTCTTATCACTGTATGAAAATACACTGCTTAGAGGTTCAGCAATACAGATCAGTCCGTCCCACTGCCACAGAAATATTGACTAATATTACCTTGAAGATGAGCATGTAAGAGTTCCACCTGTTTAAACCAAGAATGCAGTGGCACTGCCAGTCTTCTTTCACTTTCATGAATAACTGGTACTGAGTCGCCATGGAATTGCTTCTATAGCACTGAAGTGACAATACAGAATTTATGTTTAGACAGCCAGTTTCTCAGGGTAGATTTCTGTGGAAACCCTGAGGGTTTGTGGGGTAATAGTGAGGCAATCTGTATGCATAACCACTGTCAACTCCAATAATCAGTGCTAGCTATCTGACACTCAGATATGGAAAATGTGCCAGTCTAAGTATGAATAGGGTGCAAACTGAATAAAAGATGGTAAAATGTGAGGAAGATCTACGTTTCAGTGGGTCCTACTGGTTTGAGAGCTAGAACCTGCAGGTATTCTACGATCATCTCTTTTTGGACAGTATTTGCAGGAGCAAGTAATTTGACTATTAGAGAAATCAACCAGAAAACCATCAAATGAAAGGCCCTCATCAATATATGCATGTCTCTGGATAAGATACAGGCTTGAGGAGTACTTGTCTTAGAGCAAATGATTCCACGACTGAGACTCCACACCTGCAGCACCTACAGAAGTTTGAAAAGACACTCTGAAGACCATTTGGGCTTCAACAAGGATGGAAAGGAACTGGTGATAAAGTTGGAGAAAGATGACAATTTATCTGGGAATTCAAACCTGAGAGGTTAAACAGAGCCTCCAGTTTTGCAAGCTGAAATGGCAATGCGGCAGAGGAAGGAACACCTTTCTGATCATTAAAACATTTAGTCTTATCCCTGAATTTACAAAACCTAGCTCTGGCAGTCACAACCTCAGATAAGAGGATAGGACAAATATATAGGAAGTCCCAGTTCCAGGGTTCAGATGTTTTTCTATCAATTATGTTCACAGAAAGATAACAGGAGAATGAACTTTCCAAAATAGGCCAGCTGGCTCCAGTGCAACCTCATTAGCAGACAACAGCACTCAGATGTGAATAACTAGCATGGAACGCTCATTAAACTTTGCAATGTCTCTGCCTCATCATTAAAGGGAATCCCTACAGGAATGCACTTAGTAGATCCTGAAAGAAACATTGCTCAGTTATAAAAGTCGCTAGCATCTTCTCTCTAGGAAGACAGAACATGAAAATATCTAATCCTGAAAAAAGCCTGGGAAGGTAATGCTCTGTTGAGAGAAAAATGAAGCTGTGTGATTTCTGGAAGTAGATACATCTGTACCTTGTCCTTTCGTGCTAACACAACTGAGGCACACAAGGCCGGCCTGAGTAAATCTTGAGCATGGAGTTTGTCTTGCGAAGCCATTTAATGAATCTAGTAACCCAACAGGTAAAGAGAGTAAACATTACTGTTAAAATGTCAGGTTCTCCATTTCACCTGCTTTGTATGATCGGATTTACTTTCCAAGTGAAATAATCCCAAGCAAATGTTCATCTCTGTACCTGGCCAGTCTTTAAAATGAAGTGCAACACTAAAGTATGTTCTTGAACAAAATCGCTCATAGTCACAAGGATAGCATGCCAGCACGCTTCCATTCTGAAAACAAGGGTCTTGTATGGCAGACTGCATTGAATTTAAAGCCCTTAATAGTGTCAGAAATGGAAAGGGATGCTCAGGAGACATCTGCATAACTGCCAAGACCAAATAATATTAGGTTCATGCCTCAGATGAGCAATTTTCTGGTTCTTGCAAGACCAATGAAACTTCAAGTCATGCCTGTCATGAAGGCAAAGGAGAAAAATGCGTGTGTACATCTTCACTTTTGTACTCACCATGAAGGTTAGCAGCAAGCTATTCTTTAGTCTGCCTGATAGACCACTGTTTGTCAACCCTCTAGGCTGGAGATGATTTACCTTTGTTTTAATGAAGAACAAGAGTATCCTAAGGGAATTTTACCTGGTGATATACATCTCACTTAGAGTTGGCCAGCTCATGGCAGCCATGGAGTCTTGAATCTCCTGAGTCTTCTGTAAATGTGCAAAGTAGATAGATCTGAAGTTCAAGCTTTTGAGTATTTATAATTTTCATTTCCAAGAAATGTCACAGCTTTCTTGAATGCCACTCAGAGAATGGAATACAAGCTCCTCAAGCTGCTTAAGTATAAAAAGTGCTACTTCAGTAGAGTAGCTGATTGGGACTAAAACAGCACTGGGCATTCTCTTCTTTGTACATCCACTGGCTGAGAACAGAAAAGGCAGAATGATAATGAACTTCAGAAATACTGTAAAGAGAAAAAGCTCTCTGAACTCTAGTCACAGATCATAAAGAACATCCAAATCATGTGAATGTGGACTTGACTTTGTAAAAAGAAGGGTAAATTCGAAGTAGGAAATATCCTTAGGAACAGAAGACATGCAATATTGTCAATTGAATTACTGCTATATGAATATTAAGAAACATTAAACACATGCCAATAAGCAAACAATGCTGAAATGCAATGCTACAGTTTAATGAATAAAATAAGACAACAAACGTCTCCTAGTCACCAAGATGTCTAGACCTCAGAGTGAACAATCAACCAGGGAGAGTTGCCTAGCCACAGCACTGTCAAAAGCACCAGTGACAAAATAAAGTCTGAACACTGGGAAGAGCTCATAAAAAGTCATGAACACTTTTTCATTAACAAATATCTACCCACACCACATATACCAAAAGGAAGTTGTATTTCAAAGTCTTTCAGGTGGACAACTGATTCGGGTCCACTTAGTAGCTGCCATAAAACAGAGTAACAGAAGCCAGACCTGAACAATGTTTGTTTACCCAAGAGAAAAATGTATTATACAGTCCCACACAACTGTGAAATAATTGTAAGACCTTTTTTTCATAGAATCTTCACTGATATCTTTTCCTTCCTGTTACATCAGACTTCACTTAACCTGTACCAAGTGATAACAAACTGCTGAACGGATGATGTTTAATCTATATGTTTAAAACAAATTTCACTAATTTTCTCAGAAAAAAAAGTGTAGTGTGCTGAGTAATTTACCAGTTTTCAGAAAGAAAAAAACTATAAAGAGCTTCGAGAAGTCAGCAAGATTTGTCTTACTAAATATGACAGACTGAGAAAGTTGAGGCAGTTCAGTCTGGAGAAGAGGGAGGAGCTGATCTCTACCTGCAGCCATTGGAGGTCCATGGTGGAGTAGGTCTCCACCTGCAGCCCAGGGAGGATCCTACACTGGACCAGGGGGATGCCTAAAGGAGGCTGTGACCCCATGGGAAGCCCACACTGGAGCAGGCTCCTGGCAGGACCTGTGGCCCCATGGAGAGAGGAGCCCAGGCTGGAGCATGTTTGCTGCAGTACTTGTGACCCCACAGGGGACCCACACTGGAGCAGTCTGGTCCTGAAGGACTGCACCCATGGAAGGGACCCACACTGGAGCAGTTCAGGCTGAAAAACTGCAACCCGTGAGGACTCAATTTGGAGAAGTCCATGGAGGACTGTCTCCTATTGGAGTGACCCCATACTGCATCAGGGAAGATTGTGAGGGGTCCTCCCTCTCAAGGAGGAAGGAGCGGCAGAGACGTGTGATGAACTGACCACAGCTCCAATTCCCCATCCCCCTGTGCTGCTGGTGGGGAGGACATAGAGAAATCAGAAATTAAGCCCAGGAAGAAGGGAGGAGAAGGAGGAAGTTGTTTTTAAGATTTGATTTTATTTCTTATTACTCTGATTTGACTGGTAATAAATTAAACTATTTCTTCCCCCGAGTCGAGTCTGTTTTGCCCATGACAGCAATTGCTGAGTGATCTCTCCCTGTCCTTATCTCAACCTGTGACACTTTTGTTACAGTTTCTCTCCCTTGTCCAGTTGAGGAGGGGAAGTGATAGAGAAGCTCTGGTGGGACCCCAGTGTCTAGCCAGGGTCAACCCACCACAAGCACTCACGGAATTCAGCAAGAGAGGTAACGGCGTATAATTGTTACAAATCAATTTGGATCATCTGCTGTTGGCTATAAATTAGGGGAACTAAATCAAAGGCTTATTTTGATAAAACACCATGTGAAAATGTTTTGCAAAGACTTTTTTTGTCATGTTACTCTTATTTTTCAGCATGAACTGTAGGATAAATGAGTCCTGCTGAAGAGCTGAAATGTGCCTTTGTACAAAACCCAAATGACTGGAAATAAGACATCTACAGACAGAATTTAGTCAAGGCTAATGGACTGGAAGGGCATAATTACAGGAATGCCTCCCACAAAGCAGTGCTAGCCAACCCCTTATAGTTATGATTCAAAAGGATTTGTTTCAGGTATGCACAAGTCTCAAATTCAAGCAGATTAAATCACATTGAAATACCTTCTAAACTTAAAATATAATTAAAGTTTGCCATAGTTTAAGGGAAATATTTCTTTTACTTTAAAATAAAGTTTTTATTTCATAAGGTTCCTTAGATTCAAGGAAATCTATGTAAATTGTCTTTTAGTTTATCAATTTAAATGGTGTGTTCTGAACTTCTATTTCATCCAGAATGTGTTCTAGACACAACCTGAAATTATTTTTGGCATGGAAACAGGAAATTTTAGATATTTTCCAGCCTAACACTTGCACGGGATTTATAAAAATTTAAGTATTTAATTGGGTTATTTAGTTTTTAGCATTTTGTCAGAAAAAATGACAAAAATTCCAAGTCAAAAGTTGTTACCATTACACAAAATGTCCAGCTGAGCCTTTAAACATTTGCTTTTAATGTAATAGGTGAATTTTTAGCATACATTTAGATAAAAATTGTACAATATTTTCAATTATTCAAACACTGAGGAACAGAAAATGAAGATTGTTCAAACAATTCTTATTTTAAATACCCACACATCCCTATGAACAATGTCTTGTAAACATCAAAATCCTCTCAGTGGGAGAAAAATCCATTGATTCTAAGAAAGTTTTTGATAAATTTAGTAGGATAAATAGAAAATATTTGATATTCCACATTGCCTCATTGTTTGGGAATTGGATTAGTGGGAACAATAGAAATACAAGTAGGAACATTTGGACTCGAAACACTGAGAAGTTTTTTTTCCTTGATGCTTGAACAAAAGGCAGTAAAGATTTATGATGTGCCAATTTGTGAACTAAATAGAAAAAACAATTTTAAGATTAGTTTGCTCAAACTATTCTTAATGCAAGTTGTAATGAAGCTGACAAAAATCTTGGGTGAGTCAATTCTTTTGCTAATTGTCCCAATTGAAACATAAATTATCTTAGTCTATAAAGGACTTTTATTGCACCTAACAGTTTATTCTCTCTTAGAAGCCTTGTCTGTTGATCCCAAGTATCCAGATACCTCACAGAACAAAAGCCCTGCAACTCACTCCATGAAACAGTACGTATTCATCCAATGTTCAAAAATGACATACTTACACAATTGGTTTTTCCAATCTGCTCCCCTGTGATCCAACTATTTCTCCCAGTGTACAAAACATCTGTCCCAAAAAATCCTGAAAAGCAGTAACATGAAACTCAGAATTCATATTTCACATTGAAACAAATCTGGTTTCCCATTTATCTGGGCTGTTCATTACTGCAGACCACACTGCTGAACATCACATCTAAATAATAAGTATGCAACAATCATAAAAAAAGACTCACTATTATATATTTCACATAACATTGGTTTATATTTACAAAAGTAACTCTAATACAGTCCACTTACTGGTTTTTTTCCTGCCTGTTTCATCGACAAAAATTAAACTGAGATGGAAACAAATTAAAAGGATTAGAGACATGACTATTTATTTACCTTCTTTAACTGGAGCTTTTTAATAAATTTCTCTTTTATGAAGATATTGTACACTGATTCTATGAATATCTTGGAAGCTAATTATGTTGGCAACATTCAAGCCTGTGCAGGATCTGTATGAGCATCCTGGACTGCAATTATACACAAACACTGCCTTAATGACACACACTTTATTTTCCTGTTTTATACTTTGCCAGTGAAGACTTTCATAATGTTTCCCTGTGACCTAAGTGGTATAAAAATATGAATGGATTTTCAAACTGTTGTATACAATGATTTTATGCTGCAGACCCACTCCTTATGTTCCAAGTGAAAATAGCTTGCTAGCTCTGTTCTTCCCAGCATCACTGGCAGTAGTGCTAACAGTAGCTTATAAGGTTTGCTCATAAACAGTAATGATCGAGACACTATGATTCCTATGCAGCAAACTGTAACTTCATGATATTGTGTACAGTAGGGAGTATCTGCAGAAGTAGTTCTTACTCTTCTCTCAGCCTAGGTCACTCATTGATGTCTCTGAGCTGTGCTAGTTATGGATCCATATAATGAACTGGTTTTGAGAACTAATCCCACCAAAGAAAATAATTGCAAAAAAAAAATACTTTTTTTAACTATGTCCTTTAATTGATCTGACACCACAACACTGCTTCCATAAAGATTAATTTTTAAGCCATTTTAAAAGACTTATCTGAAAAGACTTATCTCCTCTTTCATTTTTAAAAACATTTGGCATGACATATTCTAAAATAACACCATTTTCTACACTGAAACCACAATTTTCTTTCCTTTTTTTTTTTTTTGGTGGCATTTGAATGATTAATTCCTATTAATTCCACAGTCTGTTATTAATGACAATTGTCCATTACTCTGTTCTTTCCTTAAATCAGGAAGTTACCATGAACATAAAAGTCTGATTTCAGGTAGTCAGGTTTATAAACATTATTAGATACAGCTAAAATCCATCTAAAACAGCTGAAAAACTACAGACAGCAGCACTGTCTGGTCTGGTTACTTTATACATCCATTATAAAACTTGGCAAACTGAGAAGCAAATGAAGCAAAACTTGAGTCGCTGAAGCTGAAATTCTTCAGGTTGATTTTTTCATTCCCCCAAACTGTTCAACTAGGAAATGACACTGCCCAAAGGAATGGGTCAACAGATTTTTAGAAACAAGGAAGATTTTACTCCACACAAGGTGACTACAACACATGAGCAGTCTAGCTATGCAAATACTATTGACATGCTTCAGAAACAAAGCTGCCAGTGCATGATACGAGCAAAGCTCTGCTCACTTCCTACCTACTCACTGCCTGAATTGTTAAGAGCTACTGGAAAGATACACAGGAACCTGGCAGCAAAAGGAACAATCCAGGCCAACCTTGAGCACTTCAGAAATGACAGAAATTATCAGCTGTGGTTAAGAAACACATTTCTAGCTACCATCTTTCATAGCGTTCTCAGAGCCACCATCTTCTTTGTTGTGCATATATTCTATGTGCATAGTTTGGATGCCTTCAGCACAAGTCTACACCAACTCATATAGATTTCCTCTGGAAGACAATGGACGAAAATAGGTATTTCTGATATTAATGTTAATGTGTAAAGAATAAAGCTTCCCTCCACAACTGAAGATTCCAGGAAATAGGCTCTGTTTAAAAAACAGGACCTAATGCATCCAAACATGCTTAGCCTATACTAATTGGAACATTGCAGGCACATATGTAATTTAGGAGCTACTTGAACAGTCTTCAGAAGAACAGTGATTTGTTTTCTCATTGTTTTGTTCTGGTTTCCCATGGGCTCAGCAAGATATTCAAAGCTGAGTTCCAGTTTCCATAATCAAACAATGAAATCTAGGCTGTATATCTGTATACATCTTTGTTTGCACTTCCTTAGTGACTAACTTATATTGTGTCTTCTTTTTTTCTTAAAGCTTAATTACAAGTTTTTTTGTACAAAGAAGCATGTTTCAGGGGAAAAAAAATAATTCAGATAAAGTAGGTACCACAGAAGTGCAAATAATCTTGAGCAGAAGCCCAGGATAAGCCTTTATCCTTACTGAAGACAGTATACAGAAGACTTCCCTTTTCTGCATCTTCACAGCTAGCACTGCAATTATACAGAGCATCCTTCCAAGATGACAGAGATGAAAAACAGTTTGCCAGGATGTTTAAATCATTACACGGTGGATCCAACTGGAGATCAATGGCTGAAAGTCTTTTATTTTCACTGTGAAACACACACAACATTGCTTCTATTATTCTCTTTTGCTCCAGGCTCCAAAAGGTTCACTTATCAAAGCTATCCTGTACTTATTTAAAAATAAGTCACTCAGAAGCCTATGAATTCTATCATCACATCTCTAAATTTTAAAGTTACTATTTAATCCTTTCCACTTCAGGATGATATGAGTATAAAAAGTTTCTACCAATACTAATAAGGAAAAAATCAAAACATGTTTACACTTTTTAAATCCCAGAGAAGTAACAACAAAATGCAGCATATCACATATCTGAAAAGGTATGCATGGATGCTTAAATATGCCCTCTCCAGGACAAATGTCCCGCTAACATTGTAACACACAACAGCATTTGTCTCCATTCATCTGGTATTACAGTCAAGAGGAAATAAACGTATTTAGGAAAGTGTAAGCATTTCAGCAGGAGAAAGCATAACAGTGAGGAAAACTTACATGTTTTGATAGGTTCGGGCTCTTTGAGTCAACATCATAGCTTAAAAAGGAAAAAAAAAAAAAAAAGAATGTGATAACATAGTTGCCAGATGACAGATCCGAGATAAATGGAAGAAGACAGAACCCAAACAATTCTTTCACCTGTTTCAGTGTGTGGAATTTACACAGATACATGAATGGAAGTCTCACCAGTAAGAATGGCAGACTGAATCATCACAGATTATAGGATTAGGTTCACTAGCTATTTGAAATGAAACCGTTTTCAACAAAGTGCAGCCTTCTAAGAGAAGTTATTTTGATATTCTTATTTGAACAATGAAATCTGCCAAGGAACAGAGCAAACATTAAAAAATAATCTTAGAAAACAAACTTGTGAATTATTTTCTTAGGTAGTTCTTCAGTCATTTCACTAATTAAATAGAAATAACTGACAATAAATTGAATTGCTTCTAACTATAGTTTGACTTGCTCTTTTCAGTTTATCAAGAGATATACTTTCTTTCTGTTTATCAAGAGATATACTTTTTTCTGTTGCAAAAAAGAATCATACGTGGAGTCTCTTTCTTTGAAAAATAACATTAAAAACAGATACTCTGGTTTCAAGTTCAGAACAGATTTGTGCTCTGTGGAAGAGGCAGCCAAATCAACATTCCTACACAGCCCCAACTGTGTCTTTATTTCAGCAACGCCTTACCTACTTGGAAGAAAATCCTTTATTTCACAAAGTGACTATCTGTTAAAGTTATTTTCAATAGCAGGCAGTAGTTACACTCAGCAGATTTAATGGCATTGAGCCCAACTTTTGAAATAAAAAATAAAGTCTGCACCAGGCTTCCATGGTGACGATGAGAGAATTCGTACCTGGCCATTTAGAAGCACCCTGCAATCTATCTTGGCATTGATTGTTTCCTTTCACTCTCTGAAACCATTTAAGCCTAGATGGAAACAGCTAGCTGCTACTTGTGTTTTGAACACAATGAAACTTTTTTCCTCACTCATCCCTCTGACACTTCTGCTAATTTAGGAAGCATTCTGACCTGCTATTAAAAGACATTTACAGCTAAAGAAAAGTGTATAGTTTTTGTTTGTTTCCATGATACAGGAAATGCTGCCATTCAAAAGCACTTCAGTAAAAGCTTGATTATCACAAAGACTGAATTGATAAGAATGGGGCAAAATGTAATAGATGACATGCAAAGTGACCTGATGCCTAGAATCTCAATTCTGTTTAACAAAGAATAAAGTGAAACTCAAACCGATCCCACCAGTGGAAATAAATTAGTACATCAGGAATAATGTCAAAAGCCACCTACTTCTAGAACAACGGCTGTCATTTTAAAATATTACAGTTTAATATACTTAGATGCATACTGGCATTTATTTCAGTAAAGAAAATTTTGGCTGCGTACTACGTGTACAACATTATATTTCTGGACAGTACGTTCATATCTGTTTTTTTGGCTATGCTGCAAGAATATTTTAACATTTTGACATCCTTAGATTTTTAACTATTTCTAAAAGTGACGACTGTGAGTAGGATTGTACTTTAACCAGTTAACACCAGCCAATTTCTTAAAAGTCAGTCATTGTTATGTTACACATTTATTTCTGATGAAGCAATGCTAAATCAATCATGTTTATTGATGTATCCCGTGTGAACACACACTATCTCTTTCCAAGTTAATTTTATGGTGCACAAAACTTGCTATGTTTACAGAGACTGCAACATTAGAGTCAGAGATTTTTAACTTACAAATCAAATCGCAGATTCTCTCTTTCTTCAAAGAAGTAGTCCATTATAAATTTTCTAACAAAATCTGGATTTAAAGTATTATCGATTACTTCTGTTCTTCCAAACTGTAAAACAAAAGTGTAAGTTTAAGCCACATACTATAATGAAGAATAACAATACCAATAACATGTGAGATGCGAGAGAGCCTGTAAAAATTCTTTGGAACAGATGCCATGAAAGAAAATGACCCTGTTTACATTAACTGATCAGTTATCTGTGGATGGAGACAGACTGGCAGAAGACTTTGTGTTTCAATATAGAGTGGTGCACAACTTCTATTGTATCATTTGAGATTTATAAACATCAGGTCCCAAAGCCAAGCAGAATCCACAAAATTTTGTGGAAGAAATTCAGTAACACAAACATCCACCATAAACTAAAAAACAAAACAACAAAAACAAAAACCCCAAAACCACAAAAAAAAACCCAAACCCCAACAACAGCAAGCAAAAGTTTGCATATATTGCTTATTTCAGACAGCTTTAAATATTAGGAAACATAGCCCATCTGCTAGAAGTGTGTAATTTTTGCATTACCCAGCTCCTACTTCACCTCAGTTCAGCTCTCTCTTAATCTCTTCTCTATGGTTTCTGCGAAACACATTTTCTTTCTTGGTGTTTACAGGAAGAGCCTCAGCTTTTGTCAACATGAAAATGTTTTAAATAAATAAATAAGAACCCAACCCACCAGAACCAAAACACTTCAGTTCCTTTACATCACAGATAGACATGACTGATCATAAAATATCAGTGTGATTATTTTGGTCTTGTTTTAGCTGTTCTTTCAAGATAGAGAAGAGATTCAGAGCAGCCCCGCAGAGAAGGACTTGGGGGTGTCGGTTGATGAGAAAATGAACATGAGCCGGCTTCAGTGTGCTCTCACAGCCCAGAAAGCTAACCGTATCCTGGGCTGCATCAAAAGCAGCGTGACCAGCAGGTCAAAGGAGGTGATCCTGCCCCTCTGCTCTCGTGAGACCTCACTTGGAGTATTGCATGCAGTTCTGGTGTCCTCAACATAAAAAGGACATGGGACTGTTGGAACAAGTCCAGAGGAGGGCCACGAGGATGATCAGGGGACTGAAGCACCTCCCATATGAAGATCGGCCGAGAAAGTTGGGGCTGTTAAGCCTGGAGAAGAGAAGGCTGCGTGGAGACCTCATAGCAGCCTTCCAGTATCTGAAGGGGGCCTACAAGGATGCTGGAGGAGGACTCTTCATCAGGAACTGTAGTGACAGGACAAGGGGTAACGGGTTCAAACATAAACAGGGGAAGTTTAGATTGACTATAAGAAGTTCTTTACTGTAAGGGTGGTGAGGCACTGGAATGGGTTGCCCAGGGGAGTTGTGAATGCTCCATCCCTGGCGGTGTTCAAGACCAGGCTGGAGAGAGCCTTGGGTGGCATGGTTTAGTGGGAGGCATCCCTGCCCATAGGAGGGGGCTTGGATCTAGATGATCTTAAGGTCCTTTTCAACCCTTATTATTCTACGAGTCTACGATTCAGTGGTACTCAGGAAACAGAACAAAAAAGCGGCTACTGAAAACGGCATTTTATTTTGCCCTACACATTGTACGTATCAAAACGTGTTTGAATATAGTGTACTAAAAAGCTTCTTGACAATCTGCTGAAAGATCATCATTAAGGAGTCCTCAAAACTGCAATTTGGGACTAGAGACTTCTGAATGACTCAAAGACTGCCAACCTCTTCATTGATAGGAATTAGCGAAATCAATAAACATGGATAAAGAAAGAATAAGCCTCACTGCAACTGCTTTCGAGATGCATTTCCTAAAAAGGTTTTCACATCACATAAGTGAATCTAACCACTATGACCTGTACAGAGCCCCTCAGCTTCCGAGAGGAGCAGCCCTATCTCAGCCCCTGCATACTTAACATATATGTGGTATGAAAGGACAGAGCATACTCCTGTTTCTTCCTCTCAAAATTAAGACATTTCATTGTTTGATTCTTATTAAAAATAAAACAGCAAAGAACTCCAGCCACATTATTTGTGTGCTTTAAAGAAACTCCATTACAGTCAGCAACTCTTCTCTTTGGAACGACCATGCACGCATGTGTTCAAGTGGCAGGGGACTGACTGCAAACACCCTCATTCCCAAAGCTCATCTGGAGAAGTGGGCCTATCACTAAGAGGATGAGCGATTTGCAGAAAGCAACTATCCACCCAAAGATCTCAGGTACAATAAAACATTCAACAAAAGTTAATACATCTTCAAGACACAGCTCTATAAATGTCTTAGGAAAAGGAACAATCCTCAGGAGTGACACAGTGGTGATTCGTGTCTTTACAGAGTGCTTGAAACCTGTTAGGTACCTTCCACTTTTTTTATGCTGTGAGTTGTTCAACTGGGACAGTCTTATTCAGAGATTCCAGCACTTCCTATAAAAGACAGAGAAGCAAAACTATCTTCCCAATGAACGATATCATCTCCAAATAAAAAGGCAAAGAATATTCAACATACAGTGTCAGTTAGCATACTCCTTTGCCAAGACTACACCATTTCTTAAAACCTAGGTGGAATGATTTCCTGGTGTCATGGGAACCTTGATATTCCGTGTAAGAAGGCTTCTGAGTGTGTTGCAAGGCACAAATTGTTTAGAAACCAAGCTTACTCATTAGCAATCACTGTATTTCTTCAACTCTCCTAAGCCAAAGCAGCAACTACGAAAGCGGTAAGCATTATACAGATACAGGCAGGAGAAATCTCCAGAAGCTCTCCAGAGTGATGAAGATACTAAACGTTCAAAATGAGATCCTGAAGTCTCTTAAGGGAGGAGTAGCACAGGATGCATGTGATCCTGGAAACAGATCAGAACAAACAGTGTGATCCTTACTGCTTGTTTTAGATGACAAAAGTCAGTCTCTTGAGAAATGATTCAAGGTATTCTCCGAAACATGGGGATAAATTTGACAGGCAGACTGCTGTAAAAAACACCTTCTTGAACCAACATTAGTGACTAAAATGGCCGAATATTCATCTATGAGAAACAACAGGAGTAGTAGAAAGTTAGCATTTCTCAGACAATAATTATGGCTGGAATATTTGCCTGAGCTAAAGGGCCCTTCTTTCCCCTGTGAATAGTAAGGCTCAAATTTTATGCACATTCCAAGTCTCCAATCAGTTTCCAGGTCAAATAAATCTCAGAGTTTATAAATAAAATCTTCCCCTGTCAGCTGCATGCTTTATAACATTCAACAATATTGAAACCAGGAAAAAATGAAAGCTGGAATGGCTGATAAAATGAAATATGCAGCAATATCTAAGCATTTAGTAGTGTGCGAAGGTATGCACTGAAAATGAGAAGCTGTGCTCTGACACAAGCCAGTAAACGGCATTTCATCACACCAGGGATGAGAAGTGAAAACAATGGGGTCATAAGGACTGTCCATTTTGCAGTTCTGAACAGGAATATATCTCCTGTATTTTTTCCCCTCAAGGGTCCTGTTTCTTCAATTTGCACTTTTACAGCAAACTGTCAATATTCTCTCAAAGCTGCATAAAGACAAGATTTATTCTTAGTACCAAAATCCAGTAAATCCTGACCTACTCTAGAAGCAAAAGACTCAAAAAAAAAGATCCAAGACCCACTAAAATTGGCAAAGCTACCAGAAGCACAGCAAGTAAGTGAAGAACACATACTAAGTTCTAGTCTTTCATGCTATGTCCAACAGACTCAGACACACATACACAGATTTTTAAATGAAAACGCCTCCCAGCCTTGTACAGATTCAAGTAGCAAATTGCCCTGGGAGATTCACCAAGCAGGAAAAAGAAAGGTTACTAAAGTTCTTGAAATCCTCAAACTAGGACAAGCTTGAAGGAGAATAAGAGAATCTTCAATCTTGTGGGACAGTTCTATATACACAGAAGACAGAGGAAAACAAAGAATACAGGGAGCTGTAGCCTAAGAAAGTTTATTTTCTGCTGCCAAAGCCATTATCTAAATCGAAAGGCACAAACCTCAAATAACTGAGTGAGCTCAGAGGATAACTTGTCAAAAAAGTCCATTTAGGGCCACTAACACCTCTCGACAAATCTCTTGCTTGACACATTCATAAACAGATCATTTCGTGACATTATGATCCTTTTTGAAACAGTAAAGGCAGTTTGCACAACAGGAGGATATACCTGACTTCGGAAAAGACATTTAGAGGAAAATAAAGTTAATGGCTAAGGAAAACAGACAAGAATCAGAGAATACTTGAGGCTGGAAGGGGTCTCGGGAGATTCTGCAATTCCACCTTCTTGCTCAAAGCAGGATTAGCTAGAACAGGTTGTCCAGTCAGGTTTTGAGTATGTCCAAGGACAAAGACTCCACAATGTCTCTGGCAATCTGTTCCAGTGCAAGATCACAGTGAAAAGGGTTTTTCTAATGTTAAATAGAATTTTCTGTATTTCAATTTGTGCTCATTGACTCCTGTCCTTCTGCTGAGTACAGCTGAGAATAGTCTATCTCTGCCTTCATACCAGGTATTTATAAACATGAGTAACATACAAGCCTCCTCTTCTCCAGTCTGAACAATCCCAGCTCTCTCTGCCCCTCCTCATATAAGAGATGCTCCCACTTTAATGTCTTAGTGCCTGTATCTTTTTCACAGAGGGGAGCTCAGCACTGGACTCAGCACTCCCAGCTATGGTCTCACTGGTGCTGGGGGCAAGGATAACCCCCCTTGACCTGCTAGCAGTGCTGACCCTAATGCAGCACAGATGCTGGCTTGCACACTCAGAAACACTCTACATTTCTCTCACATGGAAGGTACTAACGGACTGGGAGCCTGACAATTTCTACAAGTGCATGAAAAGCAAGATGAAGGCACACAGCAAGGTAAAGGAAAGATCTGTTTCCTTTTCTTACTGCACACTGTAAAATGACTGTGACTTGAGGGGGACACAGACACTCCCCTCAGACAAAAAAAAAAAAAAAAACCCAGCTTATTTGTACAGCCTTGTAGACTCCCTCACGAAGTTCAACAAAGACAAATTCAAACTCCTGTGCTGGCACCAGGGACTGAGTGGTGGGGTAGGAGATCTGCAGAAAAAAAGGT